CGAATGCGCGCGGAATGTCTAAGTCCGTGTCCCACTGGACATAAAGTCCGTATGACTTCCAACATGAAGAGCATCTAGAATGCAAACCCACGCTCGTGGACAACAAATGAAGACACTACTTCCGGCACCAACAGGTCTTCTCACGACGATCGCACAGCCGCATCCACATTCAGCGCTACGGCATCTTTGTTTCAGTTCAAATCCCTGAAACCACGTGAGACGCCTGATCTCCTAAAAACCCGTACGTTGATTGAATGATAGAATATGCTAGGGCTGTGCGGGGTTGTGAAAAGACTCACCTTCTGTATATGACTGAACGCTCCCAGGTCCTTATCGCTTGAAAAAGTTCACGTAGCCTGCATGCCGTGATGAGGTACAAAAATTAATGTCAAACATGCAAATGTGTCCCAAACTAGCTTACATGTAAAATACGCACGTATGTACCTGTTATATAGGACTCACGGACTAATATCCAACGATGAGCACTGGTCAGATGACAAAAAGAACCTGGCATGATGCACACAGTGATCTCAACCACTTTGGTCCTCATTTCGTATGAGACTTGAAATGATCGGAACATCCTTTCCCTCCCAGTCTGCAGAAGCCGAATCAACTGCAGACTGAGTTGTTATGACACCCCTTCTGTAGTTAGATGCCGTCTCGCGCAACTCGAACTGGATGGTCTCTGTGGCAGCTTGGACTTGCTCTGCGGCGATGCCGCGGTTGACGCGAATCATGATCAAATCGAACTGGATTCCAGCCATTTCCGTGACCTGTGTGCGCATGTAAGAATCGTAACGTTTACGGTCTCAAGGATTGAACTCACAATGCCTGAGGTAACATAAACCGCATTGCTTCTAGCTAAGTTCACAATCAAGGCGATAGCGGCGGTTGCGGTATATAGCAGAGCAGATTCGATGAGAATTCTGTTGACTTCGGAAAGTTTGATACGACTTCCGGTGGTCACTCTCATCCCGCTTGAGAAAGCCTGTGCAGACTGTTTATGGATGCGGTGAATCCGGTACACGATCAAACCTGCAACATGATTCATGGGTTGGGCAACAAAATACAGATGATATTGAGTGAACAAGACTTACCCGTCGTCATGATGTTGTTGGCAAGGGCCAGAGTAACGAAGCCGTCGACGAATGGCTGAACCGTTCTGGCATTAGCCAAGTTTGTGTTCTGCTCGAGTGTCGCCGTGTAGTATAATTCCGCCACAGCGCAGGCCGCATCGGCAAACCAGATGATGATGGGCGCAACGACTACCCAGCGTCTGCGAGTGTATATGACCAAACAACGGTAGATCTGTGTGCGCGTCAGCTTCTCACATTGCTGATAAAGACAGTCAACAAATATTCACCAAAGCTCCATCCGCAATCAACGTCTGTACGAATGTCCATACGCTCTGTACCAGAGTCTTCACAAGCCGTATTCATCAACATTATGTTCTCACGCACCCGAATAACGTTGGCCCAATTTGAGATATGTTCAAATTCGCCTGTGGCACCGCCAGGCCCCGTGTAGTAAATGAACGCTACGATGTTGTGATACAGGTTGAAGACAAGGTCGGTAGTCCCGATCACAAACAGCACAATCGCGACGGAGAGCATAGGCCAGTTGATGGATTTCCGGCTACCTTTGCTCCGGCGTATCCATGTCCACATATAGATGGCGAAGATCGTAGCATGAATGCCATAGATGACACTCTGGACGAAGAGGGACACAATCTGAGCTTCAGCAAAAGGAAAGTCAACCATGCTGGCAGAAGGACACCAGTGGGCAGCGAACGATAAATTTGACTCCTGGTGAGCAGATTTATCATCAGACAAAGCCAGGTGAACAGCTTACGTTGTCAAGGCTCACGGAGTGGAGCACTTAGATCACAGAGATCGCAACTTAGTTCAAGGGCTTGACATGCGGTGCCCAGAAGCTGTCTCATGTTGAATGCTCTCCACACACTCTGAAATGCTTACCAATCTCCGTGGTGGCCACTCGCATTCAAGAACCAGAGAAACGCCCTCAGAAAGAGAGGAATAGACGTTCCTAAAGCCTGACAAGCACTCGAGGATGTAGGAAGACTTGCTGATAACACAGCAATGACGCATGAGAAAATGTCTCATGACCTTGATTGATTAACGGCGCAGAAGCGCTTTAAAAACCTGACGGTCGATTATCGGCAGCCAATCCGGTATGCACAAATAGCAATTGAACCGGCACGCACCCAAACACTCACCATTGACATGGCAATTGACTGATGATCAGACCGCTGCATTGTATAACACGTAAAACGACATGTCAATGAAGCTACAAGACAGGATATGGGATTCGCACATGTAGTGTTTCTATTATAGTCGGGCCCTGGATTCATGAGCTCAGTCGGAGCACGCAAAAAAGATCCATCAGCGAAGGCTCATCGGAAACTGCTGTAATCTAGGTGTGGCTGAACACCCAAAATTTAAGGGCACGTTGATTCGATGTCCGACGTTCCCCACTTACCATCAAGTCCCCGGATAGGTCCCCTAGCACCTTGGAGAACGAAACTCTACGAGGGATTGAGGCACCAGAGAATCAGACATTCGAACGAGCATCGATTTCCGGACTGGCCACGTTGCAAGTTGCAACCGTTATGGTGTGAATGTCTGGAATGTCTGAGTCACTGCGTTTTCAGCAAAATTGAAATTCCATTAGTAAGCAGAACCGCCGCACGACCTCATCTGCAGAAGCGAATTCCAGCGGCCAACTAGCATAGATGCCATGGTCGAGTACGGCCGGTCGCAGTAGAGCGTACCCTGGTTAGTACCTAGCCAGTCTATCGCCGCGGACGCCGACTTCTGCCGCAGTGGAAATACATGACGTCCCCTGAGATCTTGCCAGGTCGCTTCACACTTTACACAGCAGCAAACCATATGTCTGTTCTCATGTGCGGACAGCTGGATCCTTCCCTTCGGCGGTATTTGGAATAACTTGTGCACAACCCGTGAACTTTGAAGGCTCCGGACCCGCGTCGCCATGACAAATGGTTATGAGTGTATGGATCAAATCGCAAGTCAGATGCGACAAAGGGCAAAAACTGCCACTGAGGCGGCCAAGAGTGGCAGTTACGAAAGGCGGACTCCAAGGTCTCCACTTATGATGTCTGTTCCAGCAATGTCGCAGCACTATTGATAAGGAGCGACATGTACAAACGCATCGCCTTTGGAGATGAGTGTCATCAGAATATTGATTCATGTATTGGCACGGAGTAATCTTTAGCGTTCACACATGGCACTTATGTTGAAAGCCATGGCTGCCTACGTTCGACGTCCTACACTTAGGACTCGCTATCCTGTTCAAAGGCCATCTTCATACATCGCGCACCGAGACTTGACATACTGAGTATAATACTATATAGTGACATTATTACATCCAACAAGCACAGAGCACATGCTCGTCGCCATAGATCAATAAATACATTTAAGCATGTCGGACAGTGGCCCGGGCGCTTAGGGCTCCGCATAACCCCCATTGAGTACTGAGGGAAGTTTCTTCTGGTCGCTGTGCTGGCTGGTGGACTGCATACTCACCGCGAGCTGGTGCATGGAGAATGCCTGGTCATCTGCCTGCGTCGAGCGGCCCGCTGCGGCAAATTCGGACAGTGAGTCCTGCCGTGGTGCGCGCTGCGCCCAGCCGAGCCCGACGCGCACGTTGATGAGCATGAATGAGATGCCTGCGACCATCGGCAGGCCACAGTTGCTGACGAACTGGAGGTTTGTCTGCGCCTCATACGTGACGAGGAAGAAGATCGTCCAGGTCCTGCGGAGCACGGGTCAGATCTGGCCGGGTGAAGTAGTTGGTTCAGGTTTCATACGTGTATAGAGCAGCGCTTTCGACAACGATGGCGAGGGGTCCCTGTGGTGTGTGGTCAGCATAACATCCGCGCTGGTCTCAGAATGGGCTACGCACGGTTAGGTTTCCGCCTCCATGTGCCTTCGAGGCCTTATTTACCCGCCAGATGCGCCATGCGATCATGACTGTAAAATGCACTGCGCGTCAGCACTGGGAACATATGGGCAGCGGGACGCTAACGTACCTGTACTGTACACGTTGGTGCTGAAGCGCAGAGCCCCAGTCAGCATCGACAGCGAACACTCGAAGCACGGCGTAGTGCTTACCAAAGCGTGAACACGCAGTTGCTCGTCAGCCAGCGGCCGGCTGCGCTGACGAAGATATCCTCCCCAATGTGCATGCGCGTCAGCTGGTACGTTGATCCGTACCCGCAGACTGCGTGCCGGTCAGCAACGGGTAAGCATATGAGGACTGGGGACTCAACTTGTCAGGCCGATGAGAGTACATACGGGGAATACGATCACACGATTGTCGTATGACCAGATCACCCACAGCCGGTATATCTGCAGAGGGATTGTGCTGTAAGCAATATGAGTGCTCGCATCCGTGCAGCACACGCACAATGATCGTGTCGTTAATGAGTGCCACGGTGATCAGTGCCGCGCTCTGCACGACCTCCGTCGGCTGGTTGAAGTTGGCGTAGAACAGCAGCGGGTTGGCGCCGCCCTCGAAGTTCACAAAAGCATCGAACAGACGGATGACGACGGTGAGCCAGTGCTGCGATTTCTGGTGAGCAAGGCGATAAGCGCGTAGACGAGCGACTGACGATGGTGTTGCAGATGATCAAAGCCACCCCGGCACCGATGAAGATCATGATGGACGTCGGCGGTGTTGCATCGCGGATACGAGGGCCGCTGCCCGACCGGGAGCCATCTCGCAGGCGATGGACGAGCAGCCACATGGACACGATAGAGAGCAGGAAGAAGATGCCGTATAGGAAGCTCTCCACGCAGACATTGGCGAGCTCGCCAGAGATGAGAGATATCACTGCCATGGGTGTCGGGTGCGAGATGCAGGGTACTTCGAAAGATCAGCAGGAGCTGCGCGCTGGAGAATATATCCGGAGCATCGTCGTGTCAGCCCGCGGAGCTGCGAGCGTATGCTATGCGGAGGTTCTGCTGATTATCAGGAAGCGACTGTCGTCGCGCGCCTGAGACGGGACTCGAAGTAACTATTTACGTTATGAACATTGTTCGCTTTCCGAATTCGAGTCTTGCGTTCCCATGCATCACGGTGAGTCGTGACTTGCGTTGTACATCATGCCGCTCTATCGTTGACGATGCAACTTCTGCAGTGGCGACAGTAACGCAATTTGCGCTCCCTTTCGGGAACCGAGAATTCAACAAGATCATGAATAATACGTGAAATATAAATATAATCACCTCAGGTTACTGGATGAACATTCACAGCAGAGCTCTGTTTGCGGAGCATGCTCGCTTGTTCTCCTAGCTAAGCGCTGCAGCACATGTCAACAGTATTCAGGAGACTTAATAGGCACAATGACTAGCACATACTGACTTTCAGCGATGCAATATGCGAGAGAACTTTTGTGGACAAAGGGTGAGAAGATGTGCACACGTTTGGAAGGAGTATTCGAGCTCAGAAGGGCAGGGTTGTGTCGGAGAATGACCATTTCGAGTCATGCCGGAGCGGCCACATTGCATTTTTGTCGCGGCGCTCCGATCAGGTTCTTCAGAATATGTGTGCATTTTGACAAACCCTGAGATCTGAGACGTTGAGCTACTAGGACCTCCAGACACAACTTGCAGTTTTTGAGCCCTATCAAGCATTAACATCGCCATACGATTCGAGTTGCCGCAGCTCGCAAAGCGGCGCAGGCTGTGTGATCATCGGTCGATGAAACGGGGAGTGCCGACATTAGATGCATGTGGTACGCGAGCATCCGGCGTTTCCTGGGCTTAAAAAGTACTGCTTTGTTCATGCTCATCAGTCACCGTCTCTGCGTCGCCATCAAGTTTGCAACAGATGATTGCCAATGCGGTATCAATCAACGGAGATGGGTATGTGCGATGATATGTATGGACCACCCGGCAGCGCCACAAGGCCTATAGTACGGGTCTTCGCCTTTGCAAATCTACCGTATGAGGCAGTCCGGCGGTAATTGAGAAATGCAGCAACCCTGTAGGTTTCCGGCCGAACAATTGACCCAATGACACCGCTGCTGTGCTATGAGCGGAACGTAGCCAGACCGATCGCGCTCTGCTCGGTGCATCCTCCTCCTCCAAGCCCCAACGGCCATTGCAAATATTCACCATCTGCACGCCATGCCAGACTCCTACCTCGCCCGTGTTCGCAAGCTCCCCCGCGCGCCAGCACCAAACGACCGCCCGGAGGACATCAAGGGCAACCTGTCGCTCGAGATGCGCCAGCTCGCGGTCAACTTCATGCGCTTTGCCATCGCAGACTTTCCTGGCAGTGATGTGTTCGGGCACGTGTTCCTGCGCGACATGCGCCTCACGGAGATCTACCTCCGCCGCGCAGCGATGGGTGGGCAGGCCGAGCTCGTCGCTGAAGATGTGTCTTTGGAGACGCTGCGTGGCGTGCCGCTGGAGGTGCAGCTTGTATGCGAGCTCCAGGTGCGGAAGGGTAAGCTTACATTCGTTCATTCGGCCGCACATCAGGATGACATGTCTGAGCAGACATGCTGAACCTACACGGCGTTCTCGCCGGGGCAGCTTCTGCGCATCTCATCGAACTGTGAGTCCTTCCGTGGGTGGGCTATGCGCCCACTGATTGTGGCGCAGAGGCACGTTCGGCCCCTTGCAGATCATGGGTTTCTACACAGACAACGACGCGTTCGGAGTGTCCACGAACATGAACCTGACCTTCCATGCCTCTGCCGGACTGTACGTGCAATCCATTCCTCTTGGCTTTAGAATACACCCTGATCATGGCAATCACGAAGCGGAACGAATCTCAGGATGGTGGGGACGTCGCTTGCTGTAAGCGGGCGGACGATGAGCGCGCGGTGCGAGGTGCGTGCACTTCTGCTCAGTGTACGCTCTGCTCTGACCACAGCGGTAGATCTATGACAAGGACAAGGGACGGCTGCTTGTGTCTGCAGTGCACACGTTCGCACCGTTCCAGGCAGCTCCGAAGAAAGCGACAACGGTCTCGAACAAACACTCGTCGAAGCTATGATAATGCCTCAACTCGTATTGACATTGCCTCTACGTGTTCTAACATTGTCTGTGGAAGTGGGTTGGCAGTGCAACCGCCTGCATCATGCGTCGCTCCGCCACGCCCACGAGTCGCAAGCACTATGCATGTCATATGGCTGACCCGTCGCATGGGCGGAATCGCGCCGAGCATGGAGCTGACCCAAGTCACCGTTTCGCAATGCATACCTGAGTTAGCCAACCGCAGTATTTGCATTCTAGAGCTATTCTGGTCGAGTTTCCCGTGACGGAATTGGGATAGGGTTCTGGGGACCTGTCATCCGTGGGACGTATCAATGAAATTGACATGAGTGGCGCTTGATCTTACGCGACGGCATTGTGGCGCTGCCCGCTCATTCGTTTCTGCCCTAGACTGGAAGCAGTTTTCTGAGATACAAGGAAGCCTGGACCGGATATCCTGGGGGTCCCTTCCCCTTGAATCGACTCAGCCGAGTAGACGATTAAAGTTTGGAATGTGCCTCTATCCTATGCATGCGGGTTTAACACGCAAGAAGCTCTTGCGCGCTCCTGATGTGAACCGCGCCCACGGTTGATATGCGCCTGCTCCGCGAAGCACGGCGGTTTGCAAGATGATCAAATCAGCAGATTCGAGACTGGCGACTGCTGCCATCTTTGTGCAAATTTACCAACCCGAACCCGCCAAACCCGTGCGTGTGGTTCTTCCCTGGTACATGTCACCGTCGATGCGCTCAGCGCTCTGGCTGCGGAAGGCGCAACCAGTGCCTTGTGCCTGTGCTCTCCGCCTTCACGTGCTAACTCCAACTGTTACATCGTTCCAACTGGTGCATTCCTGTAGCTCCAGGCCCTGAATATTGCAACGCTTGTGTTGAATACCATCAGCACCTTCAACCTGCCGCCACGCGAGGCATATCCTCCAATCGGGCTAGTGCAGAGAACCTACAGTACGAGAAGGGACGCAACATCCCCTACGACCACTGCCCATCATGTCCGCGGTCGAGGAGGGCAAACTGCACGAAATCGCGGCATCCTCGGAGCTGCCGAAGGGAGACATTCAGAACACCAACACACAGCAGGTCCCTCTCCCCAGTCCTGCGTTACCATCAATAGACATCCCAGATGGTGGCCTCCGTGCGTGGATGTCCGTCCTTGGAGGGTGAGTCTCGATTGTTTCTACGCGGGGGCGATGGCCTGATCGCACCATGCTCAGCTTCATTGTGTTATTTTGCACATTCGGGTACTCAAACTCGTTTGGTGTCTACCAGGCGTACTTTACACTCGCTGGGACATCGAGCTCGTCCAACATCAGCTGGATCGGCTCTCTGCAGGTCTGTCATAGGAAACCTCATAGTGCGGTCACGTTAACACATCTTCCCAGCTCTTCCTGGCATTCTCTATGGGGCTGCCCGCCGGACGACTGCTAGACAAGGGATACTTCCGCATCACCACAATCGTTGGAAGCGTGCTGTTTGTGTTCTCGTGAGTGAAGAGCGTTCTGACCACTTTTATCCCGCTCCTGACCGCGTGGCATAGGATGTTCATGCTCTCGTTGACCGATCCTCACGAGTACTAGCAGATCATCCTCTCACAAGGCATTGGGCTGGGACTCGGTAGCGGGCTGCTGTTAGTCCCCGCCCAATCCGTGCAAGCGCACCACTGGAGGCGACGGCGTGCATTCGCCATCGGGATCGTGGCATCAGGCACGACCTCGCACTGTCGGTACATTCAATTTCATGCTGATCGGTCCTCCCAGGTGCCGGTGTCGGCGGGATTGTGTACCCGATCATGCTCAACCAGCTCATACATGGCTCGGCGGGGTTCGCGTGGGGCGTACGCGCGTCGGCGTTCATGACGCTCGGTTTGCTCGCCATCGCCAACTGTCTCATGACCACACGGCTGCCTGAAAGGAAGGACGGGCTGGCATCCATGGGCATGCTCAAGGCTATCTTTGCCGACCTCGCATATACGGCACTGCAGATCGGGTACGCCGCTGCTGTTCGGTGCGATCAGATGTGTGCTTAGATGGCCCCAGGTTCTTCCTGACGCTCTGGGGACTGTACTATCCATGTCCGTCCTCATCCGTTCTGTACGTTGTGCTCCTTTAACGCCGCCTCGCAGACTTCTACCTCCAATTATGGGTGAACCTCCATGGGCTATCCGAGAACCTCGCATTCTATACCGTGCGGGCCATTCCCATCCAGACGCCACGCCGCACACCACTGACTGCCGGACAGATTGCGATCCTGAATGCGGGCTCGATCCCGGGGCGGGTCGTGCTGAACATACTCGCGGACGACTTTGGGGTGTTCAATGTGCTGTGTCCCGTCATCCTCATCATGGGCGTGCTTGTGTTCGCGATGTTCGGCGTGACGCATACTGGCTCGGTCATCGTCTTCGCGCTCCTGTACGGATTCTTCAGCGGCTCCTGTGCGTGCTCCCGCTGTCCACTCTGCGTACGCTGACCTGTGCTCGTAGACCTCTCATTGTCCGCCGCAGCACTTGCATCGCTGGCAAAGAGCGTAGATGAAGTCGGGTGCGTGTAGCGAGTAAGCTCGAGCCTGTACTGCTGATCATGCAACTCTACTGCGAGCAGCGTCCGTCTCGGTGCAGCATACTTCATGGCGTCGTTCGCGTTCCTCACGGGCACGCCGATCAATGGCGCACTGCTTGGGACCGATGATCGGTGGTACCGGCCGACCGTGTTCAGCGGGGTAAGTGGTCCGGCTGTGTCTGGCATTTTGTGTGCTCATCATGATTAGGTCGTACTCGTTGTCGGGTCTGTGTTCACCATCATCGCGCGATTCATGTATGCACGACGCAAGGGCGTGCACCGCGTTTAATGGACCATGTCTGCATGTCCTGATTGCATCAATCAGTGGCGATACTGTCTTCCGTTTCATAGCGTATTGCATCTAATCTATAACAACTCATCCTAGCTATGGGGTCAACATGAGGCCCGGTTGCCAGCGAAATTACAGGGTTTGGCTGTGTTCTTCTTTTTCTAACACCAGATGTCGTGATTGCACAGGGGGCTAACATGTAAGCTCTGGCGTGAAGCCCATCTTGCTTGCCGGCATGCATGGTACTCAACGATGAGCCGCATGCGCCACCCTAAGCCTGAACATAGAACATCGGGCATTGGCCAGTGAACGCTGAAAATGCTAGATGCTGATAATCGTACAGGTTGCAACGGTAGTTTGGCGGCTCTGCTCGTTCAATCGGATTGAATCCGCGTGCTTTGCGGAATGGGCGCGTTCGAGTTACATGATAGAACGAACTTGAATGGCTAGGGCGCGACTGCCACTCTCGCCCGCACTTGAAGCGCTGAAACGGCTGGAGTTAGCGCCAGGCGTCTGATCTTCGAAGTCCCATCATCACCACGCTGTTCATCTGTGATGTTGACGGATTGTTAACTTCCGATTCACTCCGGAAATTCTTGAAGTGGACCGTAGCAGTGCCGGACATCGATGAGCGCGGTGATTTGTAATAATACCATCAATGCTGATAGCGAAACGAGCGGGATTCAGGTGATCCCGAACAACAACTCACCTATAAATTTAGACTGAGTCACAAAACTGAAGTACATGCTCATTCGACAACAGTATCTACTCCACTGAATATTTTTCTGAAGACGATGTCTTGCTCCCAGGAAGCGGTCGAGCCGGCAAAATACATGTACGTAGTACAATTCTCAGCATGATCATCTTATGTATTCTCACTGCTACTGCAGGCCGACAGAGAGGGCCCAGCACTGGCAGGCATTTTCATGAATACCATGTACGTCGTTCTTATATGACGACATTTTACTTATGGACCTGATTCGGCAGGTTGTATGGAGTGATGGTTACCCAGACGTTCTATTACTACTCGAACTATGCACGGTCTGCCACTATCTTTCCTTTTGATACGACATCTTGCACTGACAACACAACTCCAGCGACTCTAAATGGTTGAAATATTATGTCAGCGTGCATTATCTCGTCCAATGCTCATCATTGACACGCTGTCAGGTTGGAATCTTGTTTCTCGCCGACACCATGAACACCATCTTCAATATGTGGTTCATCTACAATGTGCTCGTGAATCAGTTTGGTTCGTGGGCCACTCTATAGTGCGCTCATACTACAATGCTCATGGTCGCTCTCTTTGTTTTAGGAAGCCTCAAAGGAGTCGCGTTAGCCAACTGGTGTAAGTAATCGGTTGGGTTAAAGTTGTCTCTATCGCTCACTTTGCGATATTCTTGCAGTATTTGAAACAGGGAAGTTTCCACGCATGTTTCGTCCAATTTTTAGGTCTAATTTGAAGACTCCTGCAGAAGAGGCTATGGCGGTATGTATCTTCCTGCGGCAACCCACAAAATACCACAAGACTCACTACGTGCAAGGGGATTATCGGGCTTCAGGTTCAGCTATTCTATGCGTGGCGCATCCGCCAGCTGACGGGGAAGAAATGGCTTGTGGGCCTTATTGTGACACTGTCTGTGATCGGATGCTGTGAGCCGGTTCTCTGACTGTGTTGTTCGTACTCATTTGATTGCCCTGAGCCCTCTATAGTGATGGCACTCGGAACGGCAATTGGCATCGCATTTAGACCTGAAATCACACAGTTAGACCGATACAAGGTAAAATCGCGAATACTTAACGAAAAAACATTACTCATAATTCCTACAGCAATTTGTCAGTACCTGGTTGGCTGCGGCTGCTTGCGCCGACATCACGATTTCCGTCTCACTTATCTATTACTTGGTCCGTCCCCACCTCCTGCAAAAAGCCAGGGTTTCTGAGTGCTTAAATATATAGCACACCCGTCGCACGGGCCTACCTCGTACAGATACATTGATCACTAGGCTTATACAGCGTGAGCGGTTTCGAACGTATTATACAACCACAAAGTTGACTTTGTGGCAGTCACTATGTCTTATGGTCTACTTACTTCAAGTTTCGCCTTGATAGACATCATTGCATTCTTCGCTGATGTGAGACGTCTAGCAATTCGTCATTACATACGAATAAAGCTAACATTTTCCTCAGAGCGGCGGTTTGCACCTTGGTGAGCTCTATTAGATTGACTACATTGTACCATTGATCGAACGCTGTCTTAGCTTTTAATTATACGTTGTGCAAGTTGTACGTACTTCATTTTGGCTATATAAGACCTGCATATTGACTGTGAGTTCGAAATGTGATAGGTACAGCAACTCAATGATGTCTAGCTTGAATTCACGAGACATATTGTCTACCGTGTTAACAGCACATTCAACATTTCAAGTGGCATCTGTCCCGATGGTAAATCTTCACGTCAAGTTCATCACTGGCTACATTGAGTAAGTACATCATTGAAATTGTAAGGATTCCAATCGCCCGGTGTCAACAGGTGTCAAGAGCTCAACAACGCAGGTGCGCATGTAATCTAACTGCTGCAAACAACATTGCTAATCGCCCACACCTTGCAGGTAGTTATCGGTTCAGAATCTCACAAAATGGTTAACATGTCTCGCCGGTCTCTCAACCTTGCTGGAGATACTGCGAGTGATCTAAAGGTTAAAGCTGTGGTGTAACCATGCTGCTTCGAAGATATATTGCTTTCAGAACAACGGTTAGGTTTATGATCGTCGTCGAATTTGTCTGAATCATGAAGGTGTCAAAGGCTACGAGAGACCGTGCTCTGTTTTCTGCTATGAAGTCCATACGGTTCAATGCGTGTTCACCAAGTTGAAAGCCCGCGAGATCCGAGCAACCTAATCCAAAGCTACCAAAGACAGCCGGTGGTACGGGGTCGCAGCATGGACAACCATGTTTCATCTACTCTAAGCAGCTCAACGTCTATGTACAGTCGTATGCGTGAATCTGACATTATGCGCATAATCACCTGCTAGGGGCCTACGGTGAACAGGGCAAAGTCAAAATTGATATTTTCGCCCTGACACAACGGTTCCTCTGCATCAGCGTTAGGCATTCGCCATCAGTAAGGGGAAATAAATTGGTAAGGTGACAATACGCGCATTGAGCACGATCGCACTAATGATACACAAGCGTCGTGTTGACTTATCATGTTCAGGTACTTATTGCTTTCTCTGATATTTGCTCACACGTCAATATAGGTGAGCACGTCGTTGTCATGTTACGATCAGGATCAGTCGAGATCGGCAATATCGCAGCGTTCCTTACCATCAAGCTCTGAGCAGCATCCCAGAGGATAAAGAATGTGGCGTATAAGTGTGGGTATCGCTCGTGGCATCGGATACTCTCAGGCATATCAAAGATGTGACGCTGAGTTGTATTCGCGAAATGGCATGGGTGAGGAGAAAGCATACGATCAAGCGTTATTCAACAACTACAGATCAGCTTACAGGACCGGCACGCCATAATCACGAAACTGAGGAATTGGGAACAAGATACAGTTCAAGCATATTTCATGCCCTTGATGACATCAGCCGCTACGACAGAAATTATTAGTGAGAATCTATTGAGAACAATCGATGGCGGCATACCCATCTCGGCAATCCCGTAGGCAAGAACTGGATCGAATCGATGTCAGCTTTGTAATGCGCATTTGAGTGTGATGATACCTTGTGGATGAGCCGCGGGCTCAAGTGGGAAAATAGAGAGATCAACAACACGAATATTCTTGGTCCCATATATCTATGTCATCCGCGATGCATACTGAGTCTAGAGCAGAAACATTATGCATGATGCACGCCAACCTTAAAATTCGGATCAACCACGCCGCCCTTATCCTTAGGCGACATAGACAAACTTCCAACTGCATCTGGACGTGGATGAGCATTATGAGTATGTAGCAGGGATAACAAAATGCTTACGCCAGGCTGTACCGAAGCGGGCACGTACATGCTCTATTCAAACATATCAATATCGCCTAGAGATTCAATTATGTGATGCGTGTTGACGCACCGCGTAGTTGATTCTCGTCGGTGACATTGGGTCCCGGAAGCAGCTCCACAGAAATGAGATCCTTGAAAGGTTCCGTCTGTGAAACGTTCCGCGCGAACTTGAGACCCTCCAACATTATCTCCAGGTCGACTTCTTGCTCATAATAATGAGGATCGATAATCGGAGCTGCCTTCGGGTCCGCGGAGCTAATATGCTACGGACATTTTATGTCTCGTCATGATGCTCCGTGACTGTGAAACTATACAAACTCACAATCGTACCACGAGAGAATGGATGACTGAGCACAGGTAAGAGAGCGAGACGGGGAATTCCTGAAGCTATTCAACCAATTTGGTTACCGACATTTGAATGGACATAGACAGATACTCACTATTAGGACGGAATGGCGAGAATGGGAATAACATCAACTCCACGTCGGGCACCTGTGGGTTCCTCAACAGCTCCAGTTGCAATTGATATTGTTCGTTCAGCCCAGGCGGATATTCTGCACCCCCCTGCTTTACTTTGGCAGCTTGCATGGATATGATGGTGTCGGCTCGATCTGAGATGCCTTGAAGAGAGAGGTAGGTGATACTAGTCCAGGCGAGTGACAGCGGGCCCACGGCATCGGGACTAGAAAAAATGTACAGATTTATAGTGTCAGGAACGCGAGGTATATTGACACCCACTATAGTTCCTTGAGTTTGTCCTGGAAGGTGGAATCTTTCATCAAATCCCCGGTGACAATGTTGCGATCGCCACGCATATCTGACAGAAAATTATGAGAATGCTAGCATGCTACGCTGAATTGCTGCTCTTACCGAATACAAGACCAGGGTGAGTGACATGATCCTGAATGTTAGTCCCAACAGCTGGGAGATTGTGGACGACTGGTATGCCGAGAGGCTCCAAAATCGCACGGTCACCAATTCCGCTCAATTCTAGAATGTTCGGGGACTTGATAGTACTGAGGACAAAGATAAGGAAGGACACTCTGACAGCAGCAGAGACAGTGAGTCACTGACCCTGCAGAGAGGATTACCTCGAGCCGAACGTGGACTCGATGCAGTGCACCTCCGTGCTCAAACTCGACATTAGTAGCAACAATCTCTTCGCTTTCTTTTTGAGTGACAATCTTTGTAACGTATGCTTCACTCAAAACCTTCAGATTAGGCCGCTCTTCCAGCACTGGAAAGAGGTAATGCTGCAGACCATTGTCAGCACAAATTCTTGCATTGTCATGTGATGGGACGGACCGAGGCAGAATAGGCTCTAGTCTCATTGGCCGGCTCTATACTCGAAATGATCTTAGTGGTTCCAAGAAGCTGTCGACAAGAGAAAGTTTAAACCGGCTCAAAATCAATTACAGGAAATGCCTACCTCACCGCCTAGCTGGATCAGATCTGAACGTAAGTGTATGCCTCTCACTAGTGGAGATTATTACGAACCATGTCTGCGACAGTCGAAACACCGTTCTTCTCAAGGCTCTACTCCAGTGTCAGAATTTCCAAGTAGTAGTAGAGAACGCAGGAGGGATACCTGCTGCAACTCATATTCGACACCAACGCTCATCCGAGCAAATGAAAGAGGAATAGGACCTATGTTGCGTGCGAAGGATCAGTATAGAAATCAGCACGCTATATTGTAGCTCTACCATCAGTTCCGATGGATTCTTTTACAAAGAGATCCCGATAGTCCTTCTGAGACTTCATAACATCCGGTGACATAAACCTAGAAACGTTTCAACCGAAATCTCACTGACAAAGCTCGTGTACGTGCCTCTCGGACTTCTGAGAGTACATGCAGAAACGATCAAAGTTCCATCCTAGGTTGCCGAGCCTCTCGATCGCTAGGTGCTTTTCAGCGACGCGACAATCGTGGCCCGTCAAAAGCATACCATCGAACTCGTCATGTTGCGGCCTCGTCCATCCCATTAAATTCATCGCGGACGATCCACCCAGCCCCTTGCCCCTATACACAAGATCTACTGGGAACCAGTATGCAAAGAATGCCGGTGACGACTCACCTATTCCAGGGCATGCTCTGGCCACCGGCATGTGTTTGTGGCACGACTGGAAAAGCCCAATCATATTCTGGATTCATGAATTGTTCTAACCAGCCATCAGGCTTCGCTACATGATCAGTTCATGTCAGGGAATTCATCGAGGAGGATAAGATAAACGGACTGATGAGAGGATCATCAATATGAGCTTTGCCGGCTTCGAGGACCGCTATGGAAACGCGAGGATTCTCGCTAAGCCTGTTAGCAAGTGCGAGTCCGGCAGTCTGTCGGACATTGTCTCATCACTGTCATCATCTTCAATGAGCGCACACCTACCCCACCGCCTGCGAATACGGATCATGAGTATGCTGCTAGTACGATAGCAAACAGAGCGCTAACCGATTATAACGTAGTCGAAAGATATACCCGCAACGTCAGAAAGTACTGGAAGTTTGTGCTGCATGTTTTCTCAGTGCACAATGCGGATTGGCCCGTCTTGACGTCGGAGTAGACGTTGTGTAGGCAAAGCGATTGCAAGTCTGAAGCGTCTTGTATGAGGAACCCCGCGAAGATTGCTTGCACATTAGTAATGATGGAAGGCCTTCAAGGTTCTCGGAGAAGAGTTCGCAAAGATGCATTGCAGAGCGCTGACCGGTGACCATCAAATTCGCGGCTCAACTTCTCATCATGATCCTGATCGCAACGCCATCGATAAAGAATTTACCGAATTCAATTTACATTGGGAGCTGCTGAACAACGCTTGGAGGAGGTTCGTGGAATCGTTAGTGGGGCCGTCACTGCACTGTGGAATCGATTTTTACATACTATAATTGGCCGGCGCTTCGTCTCACTGGGCGACAGCGTTGTGGCGTTACTCGCTTGCTGGCATCGGCTCGTTCGCTTCTGTTTATCGATGCCCTAGGATAGTCTGATTGGTTCTTTTGACAGGCTCAGATTTGGGTCTAGCTAATTTGAGGTACTTTTTTCTCATCTTAAACATACATGTTTCACGGAAAATACGACTTCCGGGCGGCGAGAAAATCTGGATGCTTTCGAAGAGCGTCACACCATCATTCTTGGATCGAAGCCTATTAATGCACCCGCGCTGGATGCGCATCTGCTCCGCGAAGCACGGCAGTTTGCAAGCGTCGAACCAGCAGCCTGACATCCACACGGAGCTTCCTAGAGATGGCGCACATGCTACGGTAAAGTTCCACAAGTGCGTGAGCGCCGGCTCTCCGGCATCGATTGATCCGTGATGCTTTGAACTTAGTGTTCAGCGCTCTGCATTTTCCGAGCATAATAAAGACGCGGTGTTCAACTTGTTACACTGTCACTCTGCGGCCGCAGAATCGGCCCAACGAGACGTCACGTTGTTTGAATTGCTGCGCCCTCTGGCTCCGCGGTTGAGCATTGTAACTAGGGCAGCCATGAGCCGGAAAGCGTAGCTTGTGTTGTATATTGCCTTCAAATTGTCTTACTAGATCATTGCTCTACCGCATCTCCCACGGCTCAGCACAGCTCGCATGGGGCATGCGCGCGAGGTTCATATTGCTCGGTCTCCCTTCCGTCGCCCACTTCCTTATGACCACGCGATTGCCCGGTAGGGCTCGCGCCGAAGGACATGTTCAAGGCTGTGTTTGTATACCTCCATACATCGCGGCACAGATCGGTCACATTACTGCTTCTCGGTGCGACCGGACGGGTGCTGAGATGCTCACAGGTTCCTGACGCTCAGAGGACTGTGCTATTCACGTACATATGTCATCGTGCTTTCTACGAGTTGGGCCCCACTAACGCCGCCTCGTAGACTTCTATCTCCCACTATGGGTTAAACATTCAGGGGGTCTCCGATGGCCTCGCATTCTGCACCACGGTGCATGTTCAACTTTCAACGTTCAGGCCCGGGGCGATGTAGGCAGCTTCTCTTGAAGTCTCACGCCGATTAGGATATCAGGAGACCTAGTAACGGGAACAAAAGGAAGCATGCTGGGTCAAAAGCCTGACTCTATGATAGGAAGTATCAGAACAATGGTGAGCATGACTTTTCGTCGCTTCAACGGGAGAAGCAGCGGGGTCCATTCCATCAGACAAGAGATTGCTGGTCGTGCTCAGGATATCACTAACTGATTAGTGCTGAACGCTGAACGTTTGGAGCGCTGGATGCTGATGATCGTACAGGTTGCAAACCCGACGCTCGTCCAATCTGCGTGTGAATAATTGCTAAATGAGCGCGTTTCAGTCGAACGAAAGAACGAACTTGATTGGCTAGCCCACGACTGCCTCCCGCTACCAACAGAGCGCCGAATGGATCGCAGCTTAAGTAAGAAGTAAGTGATGCATGGCGGGAAGCAGCGAGCATCTAACTAACTACAATCAATCGATGATGCAGATGGCCCAGTAGAGATTCGTATATTGTTCTGGATAGCGTCGGAATGCAACAACGGGTACTTTCAGCTGAAAGGTAATATAAGAAAACTGATCTCGGCTGCAGCATATGGGTATGAAAGAGCTGAAGCAGGCCTCCGGTGCCCGATTATCGCGAGCCCTTTCTTGCTGTGAGATGGGGCTACTGATCAGCCTGATGTACTGCATTCCGCGCATCTTTTATGGCCCAGTGCCTGCAAGATTGGTTGTCAAGACAAAGCAAGGCTCCCGGAGCACCGGACCTGAGACCCTGAGGACGTTCATAGAGACCCGGTGCCCGAGCATTCTGAAGGAGTATCGGCCTGCGTGGTGGTTGTTCAGGTGTGACCAGCATACTCATGCTTGTCGCGCCTCGTTGACGCTTTCACGCAGCGGACATCTGCAGGTGGCGCAGTGTGTGCTCGGCGATTTCTCGCAGCAAGATCGAATGCTGTACGAAAGGCGAGCGGTCGTGCAGTCTGCATTTGGAGGCGTCTCACTCACCATTCAATGAACACCCAATTCCAGAACACTGCTTCGAACAGTCGACGGAGGCACATTGTAATCCCCACCTCTCTTGACGTTCGATGCAGCATTGTAATCCTTTTGCAGAGCACTAGACTTCACGCTGCCGGAAACTGGGCTACGCTACGAGGAAGACACTCCAGTCGTCGTGGTCTTGCATGGCCTCGCAGGAGGTGACCTTCAACTCATATCTATACGTTATAAATGCACTGTACTTACGAAACGATAGACTCCCAGGAACCGTACGTTCGAGCGATCCTGGCTCCTGCCTGCGCTCCAATCTACAAAGGTGGTCTCGGATATCGTGGTGGTGATGATCTTCCGAGGCTGTCAGACCGCATCGCCGCCCCTCTGTATTCCTGCCCTGACAAAATCACCTTGCAGGCTCAGGTGTACCGCTCACTAGCCCTCGTTTATACTCGGCAGGCTACACGGATGACCTCCGTATGGCCATCTTCTACATACGGAAGCGATATCCTAGAGCCCGACTCATAGGGCTTGGATTGTCTGCTGGCGCAAACATCCTGGTCCGTTATCTGGCAGAAGAAGGCGCCCATAGCCGCCTGGTTGCTGGATTAGCGATAGCATGTGTACGCCTCTCTGCACTATGGCATTTCACTTCAAGTGCTCACCATTTGGTCACTTAGCCATGGAACTTCGCTGTCAGCAGCGACCGGTAGACCAGCCTTTCCTCTCGCCATCATACGAACGCTTACAATATCAACCCTTTACGCAGACTCGAGGACAGCTGGTTCCACAGGCACGTCTATTCCGCAACCATGGGCCAGAGCCTGCAGAATATCATCCGTGAGAACGCCTCTCGGCTGCGCACGTTCACCGACCACCCCATCAGCGACGCGCTACCTAAAACCCTTGCGCTGCGCCGCCCGACCATGCGACAGTTCGACGAACACATGATGCGCTTCATCGGCGGTCCGCCGCCCCTATTTCCCATGCCGTCCGCAGCGCATTACTACACTTGGGCATCGAGCGACAAGCTCATGGGCAACATCCGTGTGCCCGTGCTCGCTATCAATGCAGAGGACGACCCGATCGTCCGCGCGCCGCTGCCTACTGATGTCGCAGGGAATGGATGGGTCGCACTGGTTGTGACGCGGCGGGGCGGCCATATGGGGTGGTTCGAGTCTGCTGGGGGCGGGCTGCAGGTCTCACGTTGGACGACGAAGCCGGTTATGGAATGGCTGCTGGCGGTCGGCGAGGACCTAGTGCCTGAGCTGCGGAAAGAGAGGTCGCTGATCGAAGCAGATGGTCTCTTGACAGAGGATGGTCGGCCTGATATTGGTTGTGTAGAAGTTGATGAGCAGGCCTTATCATAAGAAGTAACTGCCTTGCTAGCCTGTAGAAGTCCCGCTTCAAAGATAAAAGTATTCATTAGAATAGACAGCTCCCACAAGTGCTGCGACCGCAGTAGACAGTCGCGAGCTAGAAACTCCACATATTACGCGACAGAGCACAGCATGTAGCCTTCTATTTTCACAGACGAGAGCGGGGCACACGGGTGGCGGCCGCACGCTCACGGAGCAAGCGTCGCAGGATCTTTCCACTGGGACTCTTGGGAAGGGAGTCGACGAACTCGATCCCGCCTTTGAGCCATTTGTATTCCGACTTTGCATCGGACACATGCTGCAAGTATGTGTTTGGCGATGGCTAGCATCGGAAGAACGCCTACTTACCTTGTGAATGCTGGATTGCACTTGTGCTGCTACATCCGGGTCTTTCCGTACCGCATCTGCCACTTCCGGTCGGAGAACAACATACGCGAGGGGAACTTCTCCAGCATAGTCATCCGGTATTCCGATAACGGCAGCATCGGCAATGCTAGGATGATCGAGAAGGTGTCCCTCCAGTTCCGAGGGCGGCACCTGATGTCCTTTGACCTTGATGAGTTCCTGCGCAAATGCATGGTGAGTATTCCTAACATTGTACGAGTAGCCTCTGAAAAATTACCTTGATTCGGTCACTAATGAACATGTCACCATTTTCGTGGATGATGACTTCGTCACCGGTACGGAACCACCTGCACAACTCAAAATAAGTCAAATGGAACATAGCCAGCGGCATGTCAAGGGCGTACCCATCTACGAAGCTCTCCCGCGTCCTGGAACATCATCATCAGAACAGCTCGGTGATTGAAGAGAAACGTTCGCACGCTGCCTCATCTCCATAGTAGCCCAATGTAATTTGTCCGCCGCTGACATGCAGCTCTCCCGGCTCATTGTAGCCTGCGAGTGTTCCGTCCGGCTTGACCACCTTCGCGAGGGTACCGCATACGAGCTGACCTGCGCTTCCCGGAGTACCGACCTTCTGCGAGGTGGGAGACTAGCAACCGTAAGGCTGAAGTTAGCACGGAGCGGTGTGAACCTGGGAGCGAAGTCTCGGACCGTTGTAATCGCACATGTCTCTGTCAGGCCTAGGTGGGCACGTTGGCACATAAGGCAACAGTTCACGTTGACAAGACAGTGCGACCAACCATATAGTTGCCCTACTTGAATCTTGGGCAATACCGCCAAGAATTGAGACGTGACCTCGGCTGACAGTGGCGCGGCTGCCACCACGCAATAATGCAAACTCGACAGGTCGTACTTGGCCGTGGCCGGATGCTAAACTCATGATTCAGTCGAGGCCATAGCTGGAGACAATAAGAGACCGGCCTTGCAGAATAGGACTACCTGAGGAGGCACCAGGCTAGGATGCCCGTCATAAGTCCACTGGATGATGTTCAGGATATAGATGGTTTGGCGCACAATAGATGGGTAATGCGATAGCGTTCAATGCTTTGCAGCAGCTTTTCGTAATGGAACTTCGAGCTGACGATGATGGTCATCTGTGTGGGTACTAAACATGTTGAAATGTAAAAGCGACTTGGAATGTGGGACGTACGGCGCCATATATGGCGAAAAGTAGCTGGAGAACCGTCAATGAGACGCTGATGGGATGGTAAACAGACACTTACGTTCGCCACCAGACCATATGTATCTTCATCATAAGCCCAGCAGTATTAATTCCAGGAGTAAGAAAGAGGATCATAGCTCGCTCACGATAGAACGGCACCACTGCGCCTCTCATTGTCAGTCACCGTCACATAAAATGGACGCGGCTCACCAGATGCGCATCTGTCTCCTGGACGGTACCTTCTGTCCTGCACAGGTACGTTTTCTTCGTTCCAACTATTGAAGACAGCAGTTTGGATCACGATACAGATCATGTTGTAGTGGGAAACAGCGACAGCCTGTTATAGGCGGTCATCATGCTGAAGACGAATGCGACTCTCGGGCGCATTACCTTCGGCTTTCCCATCGTTCCCGACGAGAACAAGAGGAATGCGATCTTGTTCCGTGCTTCACCAGGTTTCAGGTGATGTTCATCCATTGGTGGCATGCCCAACCCTCTCTCGATGATATCATCTGCGGACTCCACAGATTGGTGCAGTGCGTTCTGCGCGCCGAGTACTATGACAGAAGAATGAGGCACGTTGACCAAAGTCGCTGCTTCACAAGCGATATGGACGTTGTCCGCGTGGGCTATGATTAAAGAGGGCTTGACGATGCGCAATTGGTACTCTGGGATGCAGACTTTAGTACAATGTTCTCGGGATGCCTGGAATGTATACCTAGCTCGGAGCACGTCACCGATTGGCTGATCAGACTGTGCAAGTTCAGCTGAGAGCAGCATCCAAAGTATCTAAAATACGTACGCGACTGCAGCACCCAGCCGATGTGCTGCCCAAATCGCGATGCCATAGTCTGCAACATGGTTCAACCAATAAGGACAGGAGATCTATTGCAAACATACGAACCTATATGATTAGGCGCACATAACGCGACTGGAACGGCCGTCAACTAAGATCGCTCGCACTCTTGGGTAAGAGAATGAGACAAACCAACGTCATCCGGTCCTTTGAGCTCTGGTTAGCGTCTAACATTGGGAATGTTGCAGGGCCTACCTATGTGCCAGATCGAATGCATAGCTCTCGCGAATGCGTCCGTGCGTGTAATCATCTTTTGTTCATTGTTACGGGCTACCGACGGCTCTGTAGAGCAGCTTTGATTGCGTACCTCGGCGAGCGAGATGGATGCACCCGTGTCCTCATCGATGAGGCAAGGCACGTCTTTCGGTCTACGAGGTCTTGTAGGATGCCTGGTCAGATCGTCGAGGATTAACTGTGGCACAGTGAGGTTGTCTGGAACAGCGACGTTGAAGGGTACAGCCCCAGTAAAGATCATCGTGAAACCGTGCCGCCGACGGTGGCGTCTAACTCTCGGGGGAGGGGGAGAACTCGACCTAACCGGAGGAGCTTAAGGCGAAAGATTGCACTTTTTCAATAAAATCCTGTGCTTCCAGTCAATCAAGACAGGCAATTCTTTTTCTCTGGCATTTTCTCACCAAGCGATACGGAGAGAAGATGAGATGCCCGAGGCGTGCGAGAGCCGCGCGCCTGTTCAACAGCCTCTTCTGTTCCCTGTCATCGTACATTCTGATCATCGGATCCACCGAGCGCAATGTGTGAATGAAAAGCTTTCTCATTCGCAGAGAATCACCTTCAATTTCTCGTATTACATTGAGCGGCAAGTGCTAAAGTACAATCTTGACAAGGGATCCTAATTAGTGTGACAGAGCGCGACGCGCGGCGCGGTTCAGTTCGGATAATTCCGGTTTATTTGTTCCGGTTTATTTGTTTTTCGCACGAACTTCCGTTCGTTTTCCACTCATCTCTCTGCTCGACGACGAGGCTCGACGATGCTGGCAACCCACCTCTCCCTATCCTGCTCGCACTACTGTTGCTAGACGATTTGTGTACATTTGGTGGCCATTGTCGACTCGTCTGCATGTACTAGCCTGCGTGTTGTCTTGCTCGATCTTTAACCATAGTCTCCGCAGCTGTGGCAAGCGACGCTGGAGGGTTTTACCGACGATCTTTTAGCAGAAAACCTTCAATTTTGGCTGTCGAAGAGTCCTATCACTGGTGCGCCACCCATACCTCCGAGACCATGTGTCACGTCCTTGTGTGGTTCCTGTCGTGTCCTCGCATCGGAACACACATCTATCCGCTCAGCTAGCTCGTGTGGATACATCTTCTCTATGTGCGCTGCGTGCACATTGTATCCCTTGCGCAAATCAAAGGCTTGACGACTCATTCACTCCAATCTCTTGCCTCGTAGACCATCCTGCTTGCGTCTCGTCGATCTCTGCTACCCCGTCGCGAAGGTTCTTGCTTATCACGCCTCCGCTCTCTTATTGCTGCGCCTGTATCGCATTAATGTCGAAGATAGGTACTGTATCGACGCCGCGCTCACGCGCTGCTGTATATCCCCTCTGTTTGAGAGTCCTATCAACAGTAGACTTTAGAGAAGTCAGCTCTATCCGAGGTAAGAGAAATAAAAAGTAACGTGCCTTTAGCGAGTTGTTCTTGAACCTTGTCAAGTAGTGGTAGTCCAGAATAAGGATCGCACACTCTATCAAGCGCAGCAAGCACACTTCCAAGCCAAGACCGCGGTAAATCACACAGTTCCGTTTACGATCTATCACGGCTTACATACGGCGGCGACGATGGCGCTTGAAGGCGATTACAACATAGCAGCATTATCGACGGCAGTGAAGGGTGAACAGACACCCACAAAGCGACATGAAGTGCAACAAGCCACACGTAAAGAACGCGGCGATGTGCGCCATGCGTTCATGAGGCTGGGCGAGCTAAGCGTATTGTTACGAGGGCATTGGGGCATAAGCAGACCTGGCAAGTAATGATGTTCTATATTCTGGCTTCTTAACGCGCGACGACAGTCTAGAAGAGTCTTTGCACGGCATATGCTCGTCGCGCAGGACTGATGATAACGACGGTACCTCGTCTATCCACCGTGATCACTCTGCAGAACGTTGCTGCCATTGAGCCTACAAGATGTTCTGCATCTCGCACGGAATGCATATGAGGACGATATCGCTCCCTTCTAGCGAAATGGCGCAACTGATTGCTTGGAAAGCCTCCTTCATGGAATCTTTTCCCTGCTCTCGACCGAGTCTGTAACTGCTCGTTCACCACCTGTGCAGTGGCGACCAGCCAAGTGGCGTCCCTTCTATCTGCGATACACCGTCATCCACCTTGATCATGGTCTTCATGGGCACCAGAGATGTCTTGATCCAACGCTATTGTGGCTGCTCGTGCCAGTACTGGTTCTGTTAATGCTGGCTCTGTCCATGCGGTTATTGTTCGATGCGTTCTGAACCTTGAGGACAGAACGAATCCTGTACTATCTATGCCACATTCAGCGCGCCGACGGAATTGTACCAAGCGCAGCGCTGAGTTTCGTGACCTTCGTCAATAACATGACATCGTGAGTCTGTTGCACGGATGCGATCACTCCAGTTGCTCACGGCACGTCGCCTTCGCAGATATAGTGGCTGTGAGTGATCTGTGCATACGGAGATCGCGTGGTCGTGTTTCCCACATATACCCTCATCGGCCTGACCAGTTCAGTGAGGGTTTGCATACGCTTTCCCCGCTGTTGATCGGCACGCAGTCTGCGAATATGAAGCCGCATACCAGCTAACGCACATGTAAAAAGGGAGTATATTTTTGTCGCCGCGGTCGGCCGCTGACTGACAGGCAACTGCGTGTTTATGCTTTGATAAGCACCGCGCCGTGCTCTGATGCGCGCTGTTGAAGATGACTAGGACTGTGCGGTGCAGCATTAATGTGTACAGCACAAGCACATCAGCGTTCCGCTGCCCGTATGTGTCGAGCGCTGATGCACAGTGCACTCCACAGCCATGACTGCATGGCATATCTAGCGGATAAGCAAGGCGTGCACGCAGGCCGGATTCTAACCTTGCGTAGTATATCTTATAACTGGAACGGATGCTTTGCTGACCACATATTTACAGGGACTCTCGCCTCGTCGTTGAAAGCACCGCTCTAGACCGCTCTGCACTCATATGAAACCTGACCAGCTGCTTCCCCTGGCCACATATGATCCATCTGCAGGGTCTGGACGATCTTTCCTCATCTCAAAAGAAGAGCAGATGAACCTCCAGTTCGTCAGCAACTACAGCCTGCAGCGCACGCCGCGGTGTCCGAGTTTGCTGCAGCGGGCCGCATGACGTAAGCTGAAGAGCAGGCGTCCGTCATGCACCCTCGCGGTAAGCATGCCGTCCGTCAGCCAGCCCAGCGAACGGAAGAAGCTGCCCTGAATGCTCGATGCCGGCTACGCGGATCCTTGATCGTCGGCCACCTCGGTTGTCGTCGTGGTCGATTAATGATCGAATTGCTCGTCATGCAGCACTCCATGCTTGAATGTACTCATCGATCTACAGCTACGGGCATCTAATCTATGCTTACTGCATATTATGTCGTTTTGTTACACTTTACTCGGGACGCCGGATTTGGATGTGCGATATGTGCGAGTTTTTGGGCAAAGTAGTGAGTTTTGAGCCTGGGCCCTGGGATGTGCAGTCAGTCAGGGCCTGTGACTCCGCAGCATTTGTCATACGCCGGCAACGCAAGAATCGCTGCACGCTGCCCTCAATTGTAGTTTTTCCGGTGGTGCCAGTCGCCTTGGGCGTTCTGCCGGGAACTTTCCGCAACTTCTCTGACCTGAGGCCTGAGCGCTGATTTATCAAGTCAAGGACCGCTTCGTGAGAATACGTACAACCATCAGTATTCTGATCATCTATCTTCGAAGATGATGTCTTAATATTTAATGGCTGCTCCTCATTTATAGCGCTGCAACATTGCTGAGACTGACGTCGTGAATGGTGGTCATGATGTTGACTCTCTTCGTATTGGCGCTCTTGGCTGCATCAGTGGCGGCCCTTGCTCTTCGCCGCGTCCTGACCTGCTCTCCGCTCCAGAGGCTGCCACTTCCCCCGGGTGAGATGATGCCTTAAATATCCTGTTAGCTGGAGGACTCACGTCAGCCGTCATGGCGACGCAGGCCCAAAGCCTCTGCCGTTTGTCGGAAACTTGTTCCAGATACCATCGGAGGGGAGAGTTAAGCTATTCACACAATGGAGACAGACATATGGTTCGCTGTTTGCCGCTGTGTTGTGTATGACGCGACTTATATGATGATCTCAGGGGATGTCGTGTATTTCCATGCCTGTGGAAGAGAATTTGTCGTGCTCAATTCGGCCTCCGCGGCGACAGACTTGCTAGACAAACGAGGCACACTCTATAGCGACCGGCCGTACTCGACCATGGCATCTATCCTAGTCGGTCGCTGGAAATCACTCCTACAGTTGCGCTACGGCGAGCGCTTCCGCATCAGTCGGAAACACATGCGCAACGCGCTGAATGCTCGAACGATCTCCGAGTCGTTGGGCTTCCAGGAAGACGAATCTGTGAGGCTGTTGCAAGCCTTGCTGGTCACACCAGAACAGTTCCCGGCGCACATTCGAAGGCACGCACAGCAGGTTTCAATGCGCTGTTTCACTGAATGGTTCATGCAGAAACGTTGGTGCAGTCAGCCTCAATCTGACATACGGATATCGGCTGCATGAGGGAGATGGATACCTATTGACGCTTGCAGAGGAGTTCTCCCGGATCACCGGCGATGCGCTGGCATCAGGAAGGTGGCTCGTGGATATCTTTCCCTGGCGTGCATCATATCAGCTAATATTCATGTTTTTATCTGATTCTTTCTTTTACAGTGAGATACGTCCCATCATGGATGCCCGGGGCGCATTTCAAGCGATGGGCGCAGTGGGCCCGTCGCCGCTGCGAAGAGCTCGTCGACGCGCCATATGACTACGTCAAGACAAGAATCGTATAGATGCCTATCGTATCTTTCATCGAGGTTAGATTTGACTGAATTAACAGGCAGAAGGCAATGCTACTTCGTGTTTCACATCTCGCGCGTTGGAAGCGCTTCAGGAGGAGACACGGAAGACTCCGACGCTCGAAGACGAAGACATCATCAAGAACGTTGCAACAAGTTTGTACACCGGTATGGGACAGTGAACTTGCTATTAGAACGTATCATTCACGAACCTTCTGCATAGCTGGAACTGATACGGTCAGCGACCCTGGATCTTCCTGTAAGATGGAATTTTCATATCGCCATTTGCCAGACAGTAGCGATGTTATCTTCATTCATTCTCATGATGGTCTGCCACCCGGACATTCAGAGAAAGGCCCAAGCCGAGATCGATAAAGTCACCGGTGGCACGCGACTTCCCACTCACGCGGACCAGGACAAGCTGCCCTACGTGGAATGTGTTATCAAAGAGCTTCACCGTTACAACCCAGTTGCTCCCTTCGTCCCTCATAGCGTGATGCAGGACGACGAATACCGCGGATTCAGGATCCCTAAAGGCGCGTGGGTGGGAGCGAATACATGGTGTGATTCCTCGTGGCTGTCTCAGCAGTACGTGCTAGATTGTAACGAGCGATGGTAGGGGCATACTGCACGATCCCGCGATTCATCCAGAGCCAGAACGGTTCAATCCCGATCGTTTCATGGATGACGAGAAGAACATACCTCAGCGGGATCCGCGAGAGTTCTCGTTCGGACTCGGGAGGCGGTGGGTTTTGGCTTGCATTGATTATTAGCTGCTTCGTGTTAATTCATTATCCTCAGTCGTTGCCCTGGCGTGATGCTAGCAGCATCCACGTTGTTTATCGTCGTCTCACGGATTCTTGCCGTCTTTGATATTCTCAAACCGGTCGATGAGGTAGGACAAGAGTACATGCCTCCCATGGAATTTACCTCGGACAACATAGTGTACGTTGCGTTACCATATTGCTTAGCCTGCTAAGTTCCTCATTGCATCCAGATACCCGAAACCATTCGATTGCAGAATTCTTCCACGCTCTACTGAAGCTATTGCTGTCATTCAGCACCACAGCTAACTCGGTGAGATACATATCGTGTCTGCCGTGACTGAAAGGCTGAAACGTTCACAATTTTTATAACACCAGTGACACTACATGTACCTGTTGTATCGAAGGCTGTTGAATCTACTTCAACTGAAACGGCAGAAATTAGGCTAGCTGAGACTCGCCAGAAAATGTGATGATTCAACAGTATCAAAGCGATTGCAAAGTAGGAATGTCCGGAGTTCCGGCGCGGTAGCGAACGTTCGATGCATGATTTAATACTTACTAGCACCTTACAGAATCATCCTTGAATTCAGAACCGTCCCCCGAAGTCGATCTATGCTCTTGCAATGGCGTGCGATTTGTTCACGACCAGTCAACATGATTGTCCGGTCGATATAGTTCCGTTCTGAGACATGTCCATGAAGCTCTACATTCAGCTGACGCCATCTCCTCTCATCGCGTTTCAATCCTTCTTGATTAGCTACAGCTGCAAATTACAGCAGGCTGATCCACGACCACGACGACGCACAACAGTCCTATTTTCATAGGACAGTCCTGCAGATTCTACCTACGTTAGAGTGTACGACCTTCGACAGAGATGTCCTTGAAATGGCAAGGGGGGTCTCGGATATATTTCAAATATATTCTGCTTACGATGTAATTCAAATTTGCTGATAACGCCCTGACGCCTTTCAATGCTAGATGCGCGATTTGTGTACTGACATCCAGCATTATTCGAGGAATATGAATCTCAGTCACCTTCTCGGCAGCTTCCAAAACTGTGGTCCTTGAGAGAACAATCAGAATTTGAGTCCAGCGCACTCTGGATGTTCCGGCAGCCTTCCAAGACGGAAGCACAAGGGAAGAATTGATACATGGTCCACTGATACGCTGTTTCGATACAAGAAGTTGAGAATTGTCAATCACGTTTCCGTGAACATTCACAAGATCCAAATACAGGCCAGTCAAGACTGTGAAAATGAAATCGGCAAGTTTCGCTTAGCGTACCTTTTGTGCCGACAACTACCAAAGAGGCGCTCCTGTCGTCATTCATACAAGTACTGTGCTCAGGTTACGCATTCACACATCGCGTACTATGTCCACAGCACCCAAGTATGCTTTAATAACCGGATGCAGCAAAGGTGGTATTGGGCATGCATTAGCACGAGAATTTATGTCCAGAGGTACGCAATGCGCTGATCTTCTGCAGCGGCAGCTTATCCATACTATTTAGGATACACAGTGTTTGCGACAGCACGTCAATTGGAGTCCATTGATGACCTCGGAGAGCTTGGAGCTATCTCACGACCGTTGGATGTGACAGATCACCAGGCAATTTGCAAGTTGAGGGACGAAATCGCGAGCATTACTGGCGGCAAGCTGGATATCTTGGTCAATAACGCGTGCGCACTGCTGCTCTGTCTGTCTCGACTCTATGGCATCTGACGTTGCCCTTCCAATTCCGTATCTCAGGGGGCAAGGCGCGTCATTTCACTTGCACATTCTGTCTGCAACGCCACAATCTGACTACGAGGCCTACTACTTTCACACAGGCCCTCTTGTCCCTGCGATTGACATGCCGATGGCAGATGCCCGTGCACTTTTTGAAGTGAATTTTTTCGCGCCGATGTCCATGGTGCAGGTGTTTGTCCAGATGCTCATTGGATCAGGTGATGGACGTATCCTCACGATCAGCAGCGTCGGGAGCGTGATGCCTTTACCATTTTGCTCCGTGTATAACGCGAGCAAAGCTGCCTTGACCCAATTCAGCAATTCTTTACGTCTTGAACTGGCACCATTCAAGTGAGTGATTCATTGTTCGCTCCAATGAGTCTCATTGCGCTGAATGCCTGAGCTATATCGTTCTTAAGTGTCAAAGTCGTCACCGTACGTCTCCTTTGCAGCTCAGGAGGCTATTTGCTAATCTGCGATGGTCATGTGGACAGGTATTGACAGGAAGCGTGAAGACGAACATTGTAAAGCCTCATACACTTCCAGAGCATTCTATATACCAACCTATGGAAGACATTTACCAGGAGAGACGCGTGAAGCCTATCATGGGTGTGTGTCGCTCACTTATGCCGGAGAGTCTCGCAAACAGCCAATGCTCCCTCGTTGTAGAGGGCGCCATGCCTGCAGACCAGTATGCGCGTACAGTGGTTTCCGAGACCCTCAAATCAAGCCCTCCAGAGATTGTGTGGGCAGGCACGCACACATGGTTCTGTTGGGCTGTCGACAAATTCCTGGGCCAACGAGGCTTCGTACGTGAAATCATCATGTTTCAACCTTGGCGATTGATGATGCAGTATCCTATCAGGATTTCATATTCACGAGGATGTTCGGGTTAGCCGATTTTGCTGCGATGGTCAAGGCTGGCCGTGAAAAGGCGCTCTAGACAGCGCTGATCTGAATTGCTTTCTTTACCACTGGCATCGCGTGCGATATCTGTTCTCGAGACCAAGGATCGTGGATTACCCGATGAGCGCATTTACATTATCGTTGTCCTGAGAAGACTGAGACACGATCACTCCATCGAATATATACATACCGACTCTGAGTGAACCCTGATATACGTAGTGTCTCGGTTACGTAATTCGCTCGACAGGACAATTGGGCTTTTGATATGAGCGGAGCAAACCCTATTGTCGAGGGAGAGGAGATAATGGGGTCAGTCATATCACCCGTACTGCACATGGATCGGGGACCTCCACATCAGCACGACTCTACCAGAAGCGGCAGCATCAGCCGAGAACGACGAGAATCTGTGCTTTACGCCACCTTGAGCGCCTACGGTGCTAGCGCTTGACAATTTGAAGCATCTGCATCAACATTTGAAACTGGCGGCTGCCGCAGAAAATGTGGAACCTCCACGACACATCCGAGTCCGCCTCTGCACTCTCTGTGGCTTCAACCCGTTGCTCATTCCAATTCAGTATGTCTCAGTGGCCTCCTGGCATCCCTTTTCTACTCCGCCACACAGTTCCCCTGCTGCATAGCTTATTGCGTTATTGCCTTCCAAGTATTGCGACTCCTGTCCACTGTATGGGAAATTCAGCTACCCAATTTGTTTACTTGTTGCGGCATTGTTCTCATTGCCTTTTCGTTCATCGCAGCACGAATTGTCTTCGGACATTGGTGCGTCGCCCGCTCAGCAAAATGTGCTAGGGTAATTCTGCCGCCTCGTTGGATCGGTGAATCGTTTGGACACCTGGACGTCCTGTCGAGTATGATGCATTCATTGGATCATGGATATCCTGGTGAGTGTCTATGCCTTCATCTGACTCTACGGCAGTATAAGATTTGTTGAGGCCTTTGAAGCCATAGGGAGACTTGGTCTCTGCGAACTCAATCTCCCGTCATCAATGGCAATGGCTTCAACCTTCTTGGATTTGAGATCCCGCTGCTCCTTAGAGATCCCAGTTCCCTGGCTGCTGCATTCCTCATATTGCACAGAGTCGAGTAACACAGAGGAGTTGCACCTCATGCCTGTTCCTCGGGCATTCAAATTTCATCATATGATTTATACGTACCCGCGCAATTTTCGTGTCAAGGTTCTTACATCATTAATGACAGGCGACTTGATGCATCCACTGCTGGAGTATGGAAGTTTGTGTAAGCGTAAATCTTCGCAAATAGATCAGCAGAGATGCATTGCATGGACACGGATCTTTGAGAGGAGTTCCATGATTTTCGTTACGTAAATGTGTCATATATGGGATGCTGCTAACGTTGCCAAACTGTCTCACACGGAAACACAGCATCGAGGAGGCGTGAGTTGACAAGAATGGAATGATGAACGTAAGTGTGCACACGCGTCTGCCGCCTGTCTCTGTGCCTGCGCTTCCTCTGCTCAGTGCTGTTTAAGGTCTCTACGCCATGCCTCCTATGCCTCACACTGTGCCTGCACTGTCCGCCGATTGGGGCCTCTCGCGTTTTCTCCCTCTAATGCAGCTGTCTCTCGCATCTCGGGACTCTGGGACTCACGCCGCCAGCACCGCCAGCCACAGGTCAGACGCCCTTCGCTTCTGTCAACACTTCAGCGACTGTAACATCTGGCCCAGTATTTGGAAACCCAATGCTGACCTTCTTGTCGACGTCCTCGCAGCCGACCTTCTGGCAGCGTGTCTTTCGTCATCAGTCCGCAAATGCCTCTCGAAGTCTCTCGCCTCTAGTGTGACTGTTCGTCGAACCTCGAGTCTGTCTGACTCCCCTGGTTCTTGCATCATGACCTCTTCACGCTGACTGTCAGTGATTCGTCTTCCTCTGATTCGTCTTCTATTACCTCTGGCAACTCTTCTTCGATATCTCTGCCTCTCCTTTCTCAATCTTCAAACCCTATGTCCTTGAACTTCTGGTCTCACCTGTTTGGACGTCGTTCTTCATACTCTTCCGCCTCGGCTGGCCCTGTTTCCGTCAACGTGATACCACGGGCTTGAGCTCGTGGTTGCTCCTCTCGCTGGCCTCTTTTATGGTGCTCCCGCCCGCTCGACTGGAGGCCGTCGTCTGTTATGGATTTAAGTGCTCATGATCTTCTTCGGACCGCTGTCCATTCTTCACCGCTGTTGGTCATTATCTTGACCTATCGTCTGCTCGTCATTCTCGCCATCGTGTCTTCGTCCTCTGCCTGTCGTTTATCGTTTTCTTTCGTGCTTCTCCGTCGTTTGTCGATCGCCTACTCTCTCGTCGCCCTTTCCTATTTCCGTCGCTGTCCTATTCTCACCTTTCTCATCGTTGTAGCCACCTTCTGTTTGTTTTACTTCTCTCTCCTTTGCTACAAGTCCTTCATTTTTGCGTACTCAGGTCTTTTCTCACAATTCTATTCTAGATCTTATATTTGGAGTGTCCCCTGTTCTTTCTTTATTTCCTTGTTGCTCTATCTATCTCTTTCCATGTCCGCATCCACAAAGATGGCTTGACGTCTCAGCTGATAAGATCTATTTAATAGCCCTGTTTCTCGTCGGACCTGTAGCTTCTACATAAGTACATGCAGGACTACGGAAAGATAAAGACAGCTAAGGCAACGTCTAACATTGCTTTATTAAGCAGCTGACATGAGATCAGAAGACCCATGAGAGAAATACTTGACAGGAACATCATCAGACTCGTGATCCTTGTGTACAGTGGACGTGATATTGACTGCCAAAGGCCTCATCGCGAACGACTGATTGCCACTGGCTGATGTGCCTGAAGTGTCTACAAACGTCGAAGTTGTGGCCGTTCCATTCTGAGCCCATCCCATGCCAACGCGTACGTTGATGAGCATGAAGGATATGCCAGCGACGAAAGGCAACGTCTCGTTGGTCACGAATTGCAAGTTGGATTGAGTCTCGTAAGTGACCAGGAAGAAGATAGTCCATATCCTACACATATTTAGTTCGTTAAACATTGCAAGAGTGTTGGACTTACGTGTAGAGCACAGCACTTTCGACGACTGTAGCCATGACAGACTAAATGGGTAGAAGCATTAGGAGAAGCATTAGAAGAATATCTACAATGGCTGATGGTATACGTACCATCAGACTGTCATGTCTATAGCCTACGATAGCTGAGTTTATTCTCCAAATACGCCATGCGATCATAGCTGAAAGCATTCATGATAAACAGTCATAAGCAGAAGTCCTCATACCACAGTTAGTGACTCACTTGTGCTGTACACATTGGTGCTGTCCCATTTATGAACCTCGTCAGTGTAGTACTTGGAAACAAGTATGCATGTCACGTACCAAAGCGAGAACGCACAGCTGCTATTAAGCCAGCGACCCAGAGCAGTGACGAAGACGTTTTCGCCGAGACGGAATGTCGTCATCTGGTACACGGTACCGACACCGCAGACTATAATGACATTAATTCTTGTGCATTCGCTTATGAATGGCTTCTCTCACCGGTTAAGCCAACCAGTGTGCAGAGCGGAAACATGACTACTCGTTTGTTGAATGCCCACACGATCCAAAGGCGGTATATCTGCATGCACAGCCTGTCAGTCATTTTGAAAGATATCAAGCGGTGTTAGCGAACAATCATTGCATCATAGACTACGATTGTGAATATTGTTGCGGCACTTTGAACAACTTCTGTTGGCTGCGACAGGTCGGCGTAAAAGTCCAATGGTGCATTGCCACCTTTGTAGTATACGAAGGCTTCAAACGGCCGCGCAACGGCTGCAGTCCAGTGCTTAAAGTCATCCTCGATGAGATCATAGCAAATCATATTAGAAAAAGGAACTGACGACAGTGTTGGAGAAAAATATAAGCGCGCTGGAAACCAAGAGGATTGTGATTGCATTCCGAGACCGAGAGTCAGATTGGCTTCGTCCTCCACCCTCCCATGCTCCCAAACCTTTCTGTCGTCGGTATAAGAGATAGAAAGAAACCGTAGAGAGAGTGAAGAAGATGCCATAGAAAAAGCTTTCTATGCAGACTGTCGCAAGGTTTGCGGGTATGAGACCGACCTCTCCCATCGCAAATGCTGGATCTGGACGAAGGATGATAGGGATGGCATCCTGCGACTGCCCAATCTCCTTTGATATAATCTGCACTCAGGCGTGATGGTGTGACTCTTGAGAAAAAGGAGGTTATGTATCTATATCGGTATCATGATGAAGTGCGATGGCACATCTTACAGATGGTGCAGTGAGGATGATGCCGCAGGCACGATCATGCTGCCATGCTGCTCTGTCAATGCCTTCCGTTGATAGATTGTTCTGCACTACCGTTTCAGAACACCGCACAACCCGGGTGAGAGATGCATGAGATATGATGCCCTGGTTCCCAAGGAACTGGGTCATCATCTTCACGATGACCTTGGCTGTTTTAACCAGCGAATGTCGTAACACATTGTGACAAGTGATCTTTCATTGAAGAGCCGTTTTTCGTTATCTAATGCTACTAAGGTCAAACGATCGAATTTAAGCAGCCTGGTCATGGGCTTGATAATTGGCTTGGACCTGTGCTTACTTGAGACAGCACAAGGACGATATCGAAGTGTTTATGATAGGTTCGTGAGAGCATTGCAGCGGGATAGATGGTAAAAGCCAGAGCAGAGGGCTGTGCCCCTGCCAGACAAGTCGCCCGAATCTGGTGCGCCGCAATGGTATCACGGAGTCTGTACCCTTTCGACCGTTCACGGGGTGTGACGCGTGATGCCTTGAACTGGGCCGGACCCAGTTCATTGTGACCCTGTGAAGTTCGGGCGCTTATTCTGTAGGACCTAACCGCCCGCGAAAAGAGCTCCAGAACGGCCGTACCTCAATGTGTTCTCTGACCGCTTTACTGGTGTTCTCTGATCGAAGGACCAAGTGAAATCAGGTCACAAAGAGTATGATGGTGCTTATTGGCAGGCACCTTACGATTGTTCAATCAGCTTTTAAGTGCGTTGTGCATCAAGAGAGATGCCAAGTTCTAGTATGAACGGATAGCGCTTGCCAACAGTGACGGCGAGCGGCACTAAGTTAGTATCAGTTCCTCCATTACATGTGACCCGCACTGACGTTTTGGGGGTAGAAGGAGGCTCATTTGAAATCTTATTGGCTTCTTGAGTGTCAGGCAAGTACTAGCTCAGAGTCCCTTCTATTTCGGAACTCGCCGAAATATACATCTATAAAACACCATTTATATCGACCTTCGCAGCTACCGTACTGCACTATACCCCGTTGTCCTTCTGCCATGCTCGCAACATCGGTTTTTAAGGCCGGGCTATTGATCATCACAGTGCTTGGGCACTATGTTAGCTTGACTCCGCCCTGCCCTCCGAGCTCGAAAGGCGACAAGGTGTACAGAGGACAGCCGTTTGAACGTGTCGTGATGTTCTTGATCGACCTCGACAAGGTTGTGTACTATGATAAAAATATAGTGTATCCCACTGATATGCTCGCTCCGCACTGCAGGTCACCGTTGCATTAGTCAGCGTCGCTCACATCGCTGTCATGCTCTTCCTTTCTGTGGATCACCCCGGTCAGCATGGGCAGCATGGGCAGCTTGTGCTTTCCCACCTTTGCCCGAGCCCTGCGCCCCGCCTCGAGACTCTCGCCTCACTTTCTCCGGCATTCCTCTTCGGCGTCTCCATGATCATGCTCGGGTCATTACTCCGCATGCGGTGCTACACTGCACTTGGTGCACAGTTCACCTACCTCGTTACTGTCAAGCCAAGACACTCTCTCGTCACATCCGGACCATATAAATATGTACGCCACCCGAGCTACGCCGGGCTGTGGCTTCTTTTTTTGGGGACGTACTGCGCATTCCGCACGCCGAGTGAATACATCGACCAGTGTGGGCTGATGCTGACGCCGGCCAAGTGGTTTGTGCATGGCTTCTTTGTACTCTACATATTCGCCATGCTTTCGGTCGTCAAACGAGGCAGGGTAGAGGACAAGCTGTTGGAGACTGCCATTGGGAAGGAGTGGTTAGAGTACCGCGAGCGAGTTCCGTACAGTATGATTCCTGGTATGTACTGATATGTTGATGGTGCAAATTAGATATGTAGATGTGACTCTGCTGATTTTTCTCTCGTGCACTTGTCATTGACGCTGCCGTGTTTAACGCTAGACAAGTGTACCTATCTACCTGCTTATTCTGGCCCTCGCATTTTTCTGCTACCAAATGTCGACATGATGCACTCTTTATACCATACCTATGACTACATACAGTCCCTCGACTCTGATGGACGCGAGTAATTCAACTTGATCGTGCTCTTTCGATCCGCTGATCACAGAATCTGAAATTGGGCTGCGCCGCAGCCTAGATTGATACAAACAGCGGCGTAGGCGCAGCACTCAGAATGTGAGTGTTAGATCATTCATGAAACACGACAGGAAGCACTAGCCTTTGCCCATCCCGGTCGGATAAGATTATAGAAGGCTCAAAGTGACACGTCACCGCGAACGCCGAGCGCTCGTGTGACATAGTCTTCATCTTATCTGTATCATCGCGGGAGCACGCTAGCTCAATTGAGTTGCGGTCTCCGCCGTTGCATATTGATATCGTCTCGCAACGTCGTGATGTTCCGCTAGTTCACAGAATGATTAAACGGGACGCATAGACGCGCACATGCAGCCTATTCGGAGAACAGCGAGGAAACAGACATGATTATATGGTGCAGCGAGGAGGACGTTTCCCAATCCTCGGTCAAGCCGGTCGCTGTAGATGTGGCTCATAATTCAATTCCAGTTCTCAGAGCGCGCAACTTCTCACCCATTGGTGACCGCCGCCGACATAAGTGCCTTGCCGCTCGTGCCTAAGAAGTGTACCAAGAAGCATGATGGGTGATGCGTGAAAATTTTCAATGTTCTGCAACGGACTGCCTCATCATCTACCACTGGCAGTCTTCTTCCGCCGTCTGATGATTCGGGAACTTCGGCCTTGAAATGAGCATCCTGAGTCCAGAACCAGTCCCTGTTGATCAATGATCGTGTCTGCCTGAAGCCGCGGAGTGGAAGACAGATAATGGGCAATGGTTTGTTCCTCCTCTCATGTTTTATGACAGAAAGGCTTTGCAATGCAGGTACTTGCTAGAATTCGCAATCAGCGCCAAGCAACGTGAAGGAACATAATATCTGTCACCAGAGCGATCATCAATGTGACACAAGTAGCAAGTACATCTAGTCGATGCATACCCTTACTCGGTCATCTAAGTGTGAGTCACTCGTAGCTGCGATCCCGCTCTCCACATCCGACATCTTGTTGCTGTTTTTGAGCGAAAGTGCATAGCAACTCGGGCCAGAGCTGCGGCTCTAGAGAACACATGCACCCCTCACCCATTGTGCGGATTTGCCATTGATGCAGGCGTCCTCGCACTCTACAGCGATGACGCGGGCTAATGAAGTGCCACCACGGTGCACTCGACCATCCATAGGTGTCCTCCTCAATCAATCGGTTGCCTGCACTCGCACCTATCTGCACCGTGACGGGCGTGCTCGCTCCAATATACTCCCCAATATGCTATCGCGCTCGAAGGATTTGCATTTGGCTCCTATGAGAGCGTTATCCCACGCCCTTGAGTCTCCAGCTCACGATGTATGGCGACCAACAACTGTATTCTCCAGCCCAAAGCGCACGGCCGGCAACCTAAGAGATCGGCTCGCAATGACCAGGCGCGTGCCGTACCTTGCTCACTTTCCGATGACCGCTCTCGCATTCAGACCACTCCCCACAGGACCGAGCCCACATCCTCTGGACTCGTTGGTCATTAAATGCGCCGTGCTGGGCCGTACGCATCGAATGTCCTCTTTGGAGTCCTATCAACGGATATGTTTAGCATATATTCGTCAGATTCCTTCCATCATATATATCGGACACTCGTTCTCCTGTAGCACGCGCCGCAGACACGAATGCGCTGGCTCCTTCAAGGCTTCTTCCGCTGGAACTTCCAGCCCCGCCGCCCTGTCGATCACCACGTTCGCTCACCTACAGCATGCGGCAGCCTTTGCAGAGCGTCAACGCACCATCACCAGGCACGCACCGCACATACGTCTTTGTGGACATCGCTGACATGTTAACACTGCTTCTCGCAGATATCGACCGCGACCTTCTCTCGACCAGATACGACGGCCGCGTCCGGCATTTCCTCTGCTTTAAAAGTACTTACTCGTGCCCGTCTCTGCATCGCCATCAAGCTTGCAACAGCATCAATCAACGGACTCGGAGATGAGCATCTGCGATGATATGTACCGACCACCCGGCGGCGCCACGAGGCCCACGGGTCTATGCCTCTCGAAAATATTCGTATGAAGGCAGTCCGGCGGTAATTGAGGAATGCAGCAAGCCTGTAGGTTTCCGCCGAACAATTGACCCAATGACAGCGCTGCTGTGCTGTGGGCGGACCGTAGCCAGACCGGCTGCGCTCTGCAGCCTCTGGTCAGTGCGCCCTCCTTCAAGCCCCAACGGCCATTGCGAGTATTCACCACCTGCACGCCATGCCAGACTCCTGCCTCGCCCGTGTTTGCAAGCTTCCGCGCGTACCTGCACCAAACGACCGTCCGGAGGACATCAAGGGCAATCTGTCCCTCGAGATGCGCCAGCTCGCGGTCAACTTCATGCACTTTGCCATCGCAGACGGTGCTGTCTTCGGTCATGTACAACGACGCGCTGGAGGTGTCGACGAACATGAATCTGACCTTCCACGCCTCTGTCGTCGGACTGTATGTGCGATTTCATCCTTTCCTCGCTTCGAAATGTATTCATCATGGCGATCGCGAAGGAGGACGAATCTCAGAATGGTGGGGACATCGCTTGCTGTAAATGGGCGGAGATAAGCGTGCGGTGCGAGGTGCGTGCTCTTCTGCTTAGTGCACGCTCTGGTCTGATCATAGTGACGAATCTATGATAAATAATAAGGACAACGGACGGCTGCTTGTGTCTGCAGTGGACACGTTCGCGATAACGGTATCGAATAAAAACTCGTCGAAGCTATGATAATGCCTCGTGTCGTATCGATATTGTCTCTGCGTGTTCTAGCATTGTCTGTGGGGATCGCGCCGAGCACGGAGCTGACCCAAGTCACCTAGTTGGTCACCCGCATTTTCTTGCTATTCTGCTCAAGTTTCCCATGACGGAATTGGGATAGGGTTCCGGGGGTGCATCTTCTCTGTCGTCCGTGGGACGTATCAATGATTCAATTGACATGAGTGGGCGCTTCAAGCATCTTATACGACGGCATTGCGGCACTGCCCGCTCATTCGCTTCTGCCCTAGACTGGAAGCAGTTGTTTAGTAGATTATTAAAGTTCGCAACAAGTTTTCATCCTCATGCGTACGGGATTCAAGGGAAATACGCAAGAAGCAGAGTCTTGGGCGCTCTTGATGACACTTATCTGAAGTTGATACGCGCCTGCTCCGCGAAGCACGGCGAATTGTAAGCATCAGCCCAAAAAACTGGCGACTGCTGTCAGCTTCATGAAATCCATGCATGCAGCTCTTCAGCTGTCATCTGTTGGGTATCAGCGCTCTGGTACTGCGGAAGACGCAACTGCCTTAGTAAGTCGCGGCACTCTCCGGCTTCATGCACTCACTTAACACGGCAGACATGATGCGATTTATCAATGTGGGAAATTGAGTGTGAATGTTGACTGATTTCTTACACATGTGACAAATATTTGCAACCATGGCATTTCATGTTGAAAATGTTTCTCTTTGACTGTGAATGTGCACTATTTGCCATTTAAATGCTACATTGGCAAACCTTTGTGACAAATGTAAGACATCAGCTGACATTCCCACACTATTTTCCACATTTCTAAATCACATCATGTCTGCTGTGTAATTGAGGTCACATCATTCAAACTCATGCATTCCTCCAGCTGCAGGCGCTGATCATTCTGTACAGTTGGAGATCACCTTCAACCTGTCACCAAGGAAGCAAGGCATACCCTCCAGCCCATTAAGTGCAGCAAGTACAAGAAGGGAAGGAGTATCCCTTAAGACCACTGTCCGTCATGTCTGCGGTCAAAGAATTCAAACTGCAACAAGTCACGCAGACTCAGAGCTGCCAAAGAGAGACATCCAGGATGTCAGCATGCAGCAGCTCCTTCTCCAGAGTCCTGCGCCACCACTGGTAGAAATTTCAGACAGTGGCCTCCGTGCGTGGATGTCCGTCCTCGAAGGGTGAGTCACGATTGTTTCTGTGCAGGACGGGGGAATTGATCACACCATGATCAGGTTCATCATGCTGTTTTGCACACTCGGATACCTCAACTCATTTGGTGTCTAGCAGGCATACTTTACACTCGCTGGGATGTCCAGCTCATTCAATATCAGCTGGATCGGCTCTCTGCAGGTATGTTGTACAAAATTTCATACTGTAGTTACATTAATACATCATCCCAGCTCTTCCTGACATTCTTTATGGGGCTGCCAGCCAGGTGACTGCTGGACAAGGGGTACTTTCACATCACCACAATCGTTGGAAGTGTACTGCTTGTCTTCTCGTGAGTCACGAGCATCCTGAACGATTTTGTTCTGCTCCTGACCACGTGGCATAGGATGTTTATGTTCTCGTTGAACAATCCTCACGATTACTATTAGGTCATCCTCTCACAAGGCATCAGGCTGGGACTCAGTAGTGGACTGCTGTTAGTCTCAGCCCAGTCCATACAAGCTCACCACTGGAAGTGACGGCGTGCATTTGCCATCGAGATTGTGTCAACAGGCAGGTCCTCGCACTGTCATTATATTCAATTTCATGCTAACCGATCCTCCAGGTGCCAGCGTGGGCAGGATTGTGTACCCAATCATGCTCAACCAGCTCATACATGGCTCGGCAGGGTTCGCATGGGGCGTGCGCACATCGGCGTTCTTGACGCTCAGCCTGCTCACCATCACAAACTGTCTCATGATGACACAGCTGCCTGGAAGGGAGGATGGGTTGGCATCTATGGGCATGCTCAAAGCTGTCTTTGCTGACCTCGCATATATCTCGTTGATGATTGGGTATGTCGCTGCTGCTTAGTGTGATCCGATGGCTGCCTAAGATTGTCACAGGTTCTTCCTGATGCTCTGGAGACTGTACTATCCATGTCTATCCTCATCCGTTCTGTGCGCTGTGCTCCGTTGATGCCGCTTCACAGATTTCTACCTCCAACTATGGGTGAACCTCCACGGGCTGTCTGAGAACCTCGCATTCTACACCATGCATACCGTCCCCATCCAAATGCCACATCGAATCACTGACTGCCTGACAGATTGCGATCCTCAATGCAGCCTCGCTTCTGGGATGGGTCATGCTGAACATATTCATGGACGACTTTGGGGTGTTCAACATGCTGTGTCCCATCATCCTCATCATGGGCGTGCTCGTATTCGCAATGTTTGACATGACACATACTGGCTCAGTCATCATCTTTGCGATTCTCTACAGATTCTTCAGCGGATCCTGTAAGCACCTCCACTGTCTGCTGTGCCTATGCTGATCCATAATCATAGACTTCTCTCTCACCGCTGCAGCACTCACATTGCTAGCAAAGAGTATAGATGAAGTCAGGTGCATATTGCGAATAAGCTCGAGCCTGTGCTGTTGGTTGTGTCACTCTATTGTGAACAGCGTCTGTCTCGATGCAGTGTGCTTTAATGGCATTCATCAGAAAGATGCTCATCAGGCTGTTGTACCGTGCCACACTCTGTCGTGCAACAGCGACAACAGCAGTCGACAGAGTGCACGTGAAAACATTACTGGTCTATATTGACAATGCAAATGCATGGCAACCATGGCGACAACAGTATGCTACTATTGTCAGACCTCACAGCTGTATAGTACAATATTTACTGGCTGGCGATAGATAAATTTACACAAGTCCTCTATCTTGATCCCACCATCCCCTCGCAAAGTTCGAACATAAAGAAGTCAATATGTGAGTTAAGATGAAATTGAACATGTCTGCTAAGCATGTCTGACGGTGTCCATGCAGGATCTACAGGGCCATCTCTGAATTCTGGGATAAGGTGGCATGATCTTGAGATACTATTCACATTTATGATACCACTATGGTGTTGAGTATTTCACGTCGAATGTTCAGTTACATAGTATCCTGACTCCGCATGCTTTGCCCGAAAAGGTCTGAACCAATAAATGTATGCGAGCACATCATTGGTGCATGCCAAGTGCTGAGGTACGCTGAAAATCAGGCATACTTGTGCAGCCTGTAGGCCTGCCGAAAACTGTGAGTTATGTGCCTGTATGCGACCTCCATCTAATCACTTATCAGATAAACCTTCACATTCATGGTACGTTTCCCGGTCAAGGACTATGAGCACAGTATCAAAGTGTGCAGGAATAGGCTTGCGATGGCCTTGTCATGGCTTAGCAGGTGCAGCTCATATTTTGTCAATGCATTTCTCATTCGAAATATGTGCATTTGCAGGTAAAAGGATCGAGATCGAACTATAGATGTCAAAGCAGTCATATCGGTTTGGTGCCATGATCCCTGAGTTAGTGATGTTCAGGGCTGGGCTTGGCCTGAAAGCCTGGGCTTGGGCTCAGCTTCAGCAGGCTTGGGCTTGCCAGAATCGCAAGCTGGGCCCTCTGATAGAGCTCAGGCTCAGCTCGGGCTCAGCCCAGCCTAAGTCCCAAGCTTGTTACAGGCAATTAGATTTTCTATCTGCAGTTAATTATCAATGTAAATTCACAAATGATCATCATACATCCATAATGAATCATTTTTCAAGCTCTTAGACAGGCTGGGCAGTGGTAAGGAGACTGAAATTCATTATGAGACCTTGAAGATTGCTTCATTTCATGTCATGTGACCCCCTGCCTTGCCGGGAAAGCATCTATTTTGTGTGACTGAAAGCCCGGGCTCAGAGCTCTGAGCTCGGGCTTTTTCCAATTGAAAGCCGGGCCTCTGTACAGGCTTACAGCAGGCTTGGGCTTGGCTTTTGGCTGCTCGGCCAGGCTCAGCTTGGCCCGGCTCAGGCTTAAAAGCCCAGCCTTGGACAACACTACCCTGAGTAAGTCCTCTTCAAGTAGAGCTCGAGCACCTGAAGAAAATCACCAGCTTCGAAATGAGTTGAGATGTCATCGACAGATACCCAACAGAATATCAGTTGCTTGGGCAGCTGGTAGGTGCACTTGATGTTAGAGTTCATCAGCTGACACAGTGCACGATATCCTTCCTCAGCGTCTTCAGCTGCTTGCACATTGTCGTCTTCCTCGTCATCATCCTCAGCATCATGGTATTCGCTCTTTTCAATAACGTCTAGATCATTCTTCACCTTGTCAACCCAGTGCAGATATGCATCCTGCCGCACTAGAGCCTCCTGTCGCTGGAGCCATGTTGTCATTTGCGAGATATATTCCTTTCGATTGGTCACTTGGTAGGCTTTCTTTGCATAGTCGATGTGAAGGCATTCTGATGTCTCAGTGTTAAATCCATCCAGGGTCCCCAGAGAGTGAATTGCATCAATATAGTGCACCAACACATGAAGTTTTGGTATGTTAAAATGTTTTTGTATGTCCGCTTCTATGAAGGCATCCTTGTTGGCATGCATGTCATCGATGACTTGTTTCATGTGAGTGAGGCTCAGTTCAGAATGCAACTGATATTGTGCATAGTAAATGAAGTCGATGAATGCTCATACCACATGTACTGTACATTTGTCAATTGCGTCTGTGAGTAGTTCCATGAAGACCTTCTGCATTTTCTTCTGCTCCTTCTCAGTCCATTGTGACACACCCGAGATGCCATCTTTGAAATAGCATAAGTGTGCATGTTCTGACATTGCCTGAAAACAATGGTCAAGGTCTTTTTTCCCTAGTAATGCGGTACACCAGGTGACAAAATGGTCTTTGAATATCCCCTTGTGCAGTTGATGGAGGATATCAGACAAGAAATATGCGAAAATGTTAGTATGTGGAAGATCAGCCCAGAACAGTGAGTAGACTGGCCGTAAACCTTCAGTTTCGACACACTGATCTTCGTCTCCCTGACCCATTCACCGTAGTATGTTCGCAGTATTCACATAGCTTCGGGGAGTGGATGCACATGGCTCACCCCGTGCTTTAGGATCAACAATGCAGCATGGACAGTGGTTTTCCTTGCAGCAGACAATCAAACACTGCTCGGGGTAGTTTGCAATGTAGGCTGCAAGTATCAGAAAAACAACGTGGATGTGACCATCTGCACACAACATCTGCATGCCTTGCTGTCCTGCCTTCTGAAGACCATTCAACAAGACTGACATGCAGTGGTGAAACAGCTGGTATTGCACATTCGACCTGGTCTTCTCCTCGAAGCACTTGAGCTTGGGAACTGATATGTAGCCTAATAATGTTGTTGCGTGTGCTAATGGCTGATGACGTGTCACTTTATCAATGTTGCTGATGGTAAGATACACTGACCATGCCATCTTGTCATTGCCAAAAACTGACAGTTGGATCTTATCAGATGCAAGTATCATGGAGGCCACAACTGCACCTGCAGGAAGACGCTCCTGCAAGTTTCACATTTGAGTTCTCAAGCGAGTCGGCTCAGAATTTATGAAGCGCGTACCTGCATCTTCCACCATCACTCACCTGTGCACATCTCTGAATACTCTTGCATACCATTGTGAGTAACCCTTTCAGGTGCATAGCTCATGTGTCCCTGAAATGCCATGTTCCCCATCAGTTCCTTGATGCAATCAACAGAATCTTGAGCCCAGATTTCTACCTCCTCCGTCATTATGCTGTGCTCTCCAGGGCCTAAACGATTACCCTGGACCTCTATGAGCTCACATCGCCACTCTGGATCAATGGGCAGCATGTCTATCTTTCGCATCAATGCCTTTATATTCAAAAACCTTGGCTTTGTGCATGCATGCATCTTTATTGTGCCTTCTGTAAGCCAATGAAATCATTCATTATAATATTTATACTTACGATGTCAAGCTTCAGGAACTCGTCAATTGCAGTCTGTGATGTGCACCTCGTTAACCACTTCACAAGTTCGCACTCCTCGACATTAGCAAATGGTGCCCATGGCAGTTGTTATGTTGCTGACTGTTCTGCCAGATGTTCTTCAAAAATGGTCACTCCATGCCCAAGACTTGCTGCCATGCTGCCTGGGAATGGCTCGCATCTGTAAGTGAACAATTCTTCATCTTCAACCTCTTCGATGGTGACCCTCTGCTGCTTTGCAGGGTTGTCAATGGGTGTAGGAGATCGAGACACATGCAAGTAGTAGCCAGATAAGTCAGGAATAATGTCTTCATTGGGTTCTGCAAGGGTAGCGGCTTGCGGCTGCATTGCACCTTGGTTAGATAGCTTGTCATAGTACGTGGCACATGTGATCCTGTTTCTCAGGTGATGATTCAAGTTTATTACAGATTTGAATGCCTTTCCACAGGATTGGCATTGAGAGCATCGGTTGGTGTGAGAAGACACCATTCTTGTATATAACAATCGTGAGCTACCTCTATCATTCTAACGCATACAGTGCAGTGATAAGTGCTGAGTAGTGGCACTCTCATCTCCAAACTCAAACTGATAAACTGAACAGGATCTAATGCTCAATCCTGACACCCTGCTCGCATTCTTTGAATCATCAAGATGCCCCATCCATCATCTGAGAACATGTCTCAGGCAGACGCAACACCTCATGCTCCCAGTACTCACATGCGACATCCAACAGAAAGGGCACAGTATGTCGGTGAGTGGTTGCGAGGCTAATCACTGATCGCATAGAGGCTAACATGCTCTGCATTGATAGAACAGCCTGAAAAAAACTGGCCATCTCAGAGATCTGCAAAGCGTCATGCTAAGCGTGCAGCCGCAGGTCAGTGTAGGCTCTGCTCTCAATGATGAATGCTCACATTGCATTTTATAGGCACCTTACAAATGGCTGCGAGTGTTGCGCAATCCAGGCAGAATAAGTCTGAGGTAAGGCATATCATGTGAACGCTCTGACATGGCTAACTCAATATAGTTCTCAATGACATCCACCAACATCCTTGGCAACTCACATTCCAGGACCTCTCAGCACATCAATCCCAAGGCTCATCTTAGCATGATGCCGAGAAATGTATCTGTGACTCCAAACAGGGTTCAGACACCACTGATGCATCATAAATCTATCTTTGAGAATAGCAATAGTTAATGTTACACAGAGTGCTCGCTGTCTGAGTCTGCAAGCTACTGCCAGGCTTGCAGCCATGCAAAACTGATACATCAGCCCTCTCATCATGTCACACTTGCCTCCCTCAAGCCCACATCATCATGGTGAACAAGCCATAAGTGCAGAAGGGGACGGTGAGTGTATGGTTCTCTAAGAATCACAAATAACTCACTTTCAGCCCAGCTCACCTTTTCACAAATGTCCGAAAGTTCAAGCTTCGCCAACATGAAGAGGAAGACTTTTTCACTATAGATGAGGAGGATTGTTGACCTTCTCGTCAATGCCAGCGTATAAGTAGTCAACTGTTTCTTATTACTGTAACAGACCTTGTCACTGACCTACTTCAGTGCATTCAGGACCTCTGACTTATGATGCATCTGAAGCCTTCGATGAAAGCGAGGGAACTGAGAAAGATGACAGCGACACAATGTCAGCATGTGACATTCAAAAGCATCATGACAAGCCTGTGAGCCTGCCACCCAAAGCACAAAAGATCATAGAGTGATCAGGTCATCCAAAAGCTGATGACTATGAGGCTTCAGCCTAAGAAGTGCTTATTGCAGCCATTGTCCACTATGTTGCATACCTAAGTACTGTCAATGCCTATCCAGATAAGATGAAGGAACTGGTTGCTGCCAAGAATGCCTGGTCCACAGCATGTGACGACACTGGCATTAAGCTCAGGCCCACTAACGAGCTTGTCAAACTGGCATGTCTTGCGGTGGCACGTATTTGATACATACACGAGATGGTTTGCTAACTGACCTGCACAGATTATAATACAGTACTCACTTTCAAAGTGAACTTAAGACAACTGCACATGGCTATGTTGAGACTGTCTTTGGCTTTCAGATGACTGGTAAGATAGCTGTGAAGAAGCGCAACCGTGCACTTGCAGAGAAGCTCTTAAAGAATGATGCTTTTGTCTATCGGGTGAGTCTCCGCATGATCTCATTGAATGCAACTCATTTATGAAACTTGTCAGAAACTCGGAGACATGAATAACCACTATAAGGGGCTTTATCAACATCGGATCATCCAGTTGATTATCAATAGAGTGTGGTTCAAGGACAAGCAGGATGATGGCATTGTTCTGGACAAAGTATATCACCCATTCCCTTTTGTGGCATTCGCCATTGTTCTGACAGCTGTAAGCATAAACGTCTTTGTGCGCATTTTTTATTGATGAATCCCTTACAGATTGAGTGCACTATTGATGAATGGGTTAGCGGCACATGAAAATATGTAACATTCGCCATCGAAGCCTATAAGCATCGTTTTAAGCACCACCTGAGCACAATCAAGGACTACAATACTACATTCGGTGATCTCAAAATCATGAAGAAGATATGTCAATGTGTGTTGGATGATGGATGATAAGCTTTTATATCTAATTTCGACTCGCAGCTGATTGAGATGCATTGCTAGCATCAATGCAAAAGCCATTCTCATCGAAATGGAAGCAACATGTACCCTTGCTCGAATGCTATCAAGAACGCAATTGAGAAGTTCAGATAGAAGGATGGAAGCCTTACTGACTCAGATGACTCTGACAATGAGGGTGGAAATGGCAGTCACAATGGGCAGCCGGAGGTCGAAGATGGATTGGACCACTAGTGAAGGGGAGGGTTTGAATAAATATGTGCTTGCTCTGCCAATGTTGTAAATGCAACTGCAATAACATTCTTGATACAGCTTCTATGGTGTGAACATGAAGATGACCGAAATATATTGCACACATTGGATGGGTATCACCGTCGTTGCCACACAATGGAGTAATATATATCACTACATTTACTTTATGCCACACTCTGTCATATGCTGTCGCATTTGTGGGAGATGACAGCATGCTCTGTTGTATGCTGTTGTACCTAGTGTTGTCCAAGGCTGGGCTTTCAAGCCCGAGCCAGGCCAAGCTGAGCCCGGCTGAGCTGCCAAAAGCCGAGCCCAAGTCTGCTGTAAGCCTGTATGGAGGCCCGGCTTTCAATTGAGAAAGCCCGAGCCCAGAGCTCTGAGCCCGGGCTTTCAGCCACATCAAATAGATGCTTTTCCAGCAAGACAAGAGATCACGTGACACAAAATAAAGTGATCTTCAAGGTCTCATAATGAATTTCGGTCCCCTTATCACTGCCCAGCCTGTCTAAGAGCTTGAGAAATAATTCATTATGGATGTATGATGATCATTTGTGAATTTACATTGATAATTAACTGCAGATAGAAAATCCAGTTGCCTGTAACAAGCCCGGGGCTTAGATCGGGCTGAGCCCGAGCTGAGCCCGAGCCCTATCAGAGGGCCCGGCTTGCAATTCTGGCAAGCCTGAGCCTGCTGAAGCTGAGCCCAAGCCCAGGCTTTCAGGCCAAGCCTGACCCTGGACATCACTAGTTGTACCTGTGGGGTACAACAGCATACAACATAGGGGGGGGGTAATGACACAGCTACAGCTATGATGTTACCGATGTCGCACAATGTCGGTGGCATGTGTCTTCCTGATGTTGTTTGCATTCCTCATAGGCATGCCGATCAATGGTGCACTGCTGGGGAGTGACGACCAGTGATACCAGCCAACTGTGTTCAGTGGTGTAAGTGGTCCTGCCATGTATAATGGTCCTCGTGCTTATCGTGATCAGGTTGTGCTCATCGTCGGGTCTGTGTTCAAGTTTACCATCATTGCGTGATTCATGCATGCACAACACAAGGGCATGCATCATCTCCAACGGACCAAGCCTGCTTCAAGCACTCTCGCTGCTAGTGTTGTTCCAATGTGCCCTTTGCAAAACAGCATGCAAACTCAGAAATGATAATCCCATCAACTCCGTGATTGATTGCCGTCTTCACCGATGCATAGACGGCATTTAACCGTGGAGCTAATGGAATTAATCTCTCTAACCATAGTATGCAGATGTATAGTGACATTTCTTGTGATATTGATGGGTGCGCTTTCAGGAGGCGGACAGGTTGACGGAGTGATATTCTCTCTCTCCAGACATTGTATGAGATTATGCAACCACCAAAAGTGAGGCAGGTGCAAGCTGATGACAAGCTCACTACTATCATGTTATTCAGGCATATGAACTGGTAGCAATGTCATTAAAGCCTTGGTGTTCAGTGCACAAGCAATCCATCAGCAAAATTGTCGAAAACTTGCGAGGCCCTCACAAGCGCTGGCGACCATTATAAGTGCACACAAGCCTTGTGGATGCTCGCAAGGTTCTTACAAGGGGACTACAAGGCTCGCTGGCTCCTCGCCAGAGAGCTATTAGCCTGGCGGTTTTTTGTGAGCCTTGTATGAGCCTCGCGATGCCTGTGCCAGGCTTGTTTTCTCTCATAAGGATCTTACACTGGTGATCTCACATATGAAGTATCACAATGGTCGCAAATTACTAGGACCGTACTATGTAGTTAGTTAGACCACATTATATATATCATTGCACACAACCTATCCAGCAGCAGAAGCAAATTGATACAAGTAGCATGCACTGATAAGCTCACCATCAGCACAATGTAGCCACATGGACAGTCAGTGCATGCAAAAAAAACAAGCATGGATTTACTAATTCAACGAGCCATAGCAGTCATCATCAAACACGCTCGCATGCTCGTTGTCTTCGCCTGATGCATCATCGCTCGACTCTCCACTGTTGTCGTTATTCGCATCGGAACCACTCGAGCTCTCATTCTCTGAGTCACTGCCTGATGCGTACCTGAAGTTGTCCTCCTCGTCTTCACTCACTTCACCATTTGGATCATCTTCACCTGCATTCGAATCTGACTCTGCACTGCTGTCTTCTTCCATGTCGCTGTCTCTGCCTGATGCCAATGTGTGCATTCTAGTATCTGCTGAGCCCGAGTCTGAGCTGTTGTTATCATTGTCACTGTCTGTGGCAGAAGCCCTATGATTGCTACCTTCAGAGCTATCATCTGTATCTGACTCAGAGTCACTTGCACTGGAGCTGTCTTCTGTGTCTGCATTATCCTCGGCATCACCATCAGTTGATGGCTTATTGTCATCTGCATTCTCCTGGAGCAGCTGTTGTGAGACCTGTCAGATTGACTGGTGGCCCACACCCTTGCTGCGGAACCGCATATACATGTCGCAGTCCACAAATCTGAATGTCTCTATATGAGCCTCGCAATTAGCAGTTCAAATGTACTCACATGTTGACATAGTAATATTGCCAATCTGCATCTTGCTCGGCAGGTGCACATACAAATGATGGCGGCAAAAGCATGTCAGTTATCCCATGTGCGAATCCAGGGATCAAGTGTACTGCCCGCATGACTTGATCAGGATCTAGAAATCTGAATGCACCAGGCTTGTCTGCATCGAGGAAGCCTACATGAGGAAGCCACTTGTGCTTCCATCCCCAGTTGTGCTGCAGGTCGATGCTGTACCAGCGAACCCACAAGAATGACATTCTCTTCAGTGCTGAGACCTGCCTGTCTGTGCCTTGCTGTCATACGTGTGCATGAAAGATGCCAATGATCTGAGCATACCAGTATGAATGAGCATGATCAGAGTCCTCATGGGACAAAACCATGATGTCCATGTGTGTCCTCAGATTGATGGAGTCTTGATTCCGGTGCATGTTGTAGGTAGTGTAGTTGATGCGCAGCACCTTGTGTTTATATAGATGGTCATTGACAATAAGCATGGAAGCATGTTCAGCATCCATATAGTCCACTTCGTCATCATCAAATGCATGTCCTAGCAGCTGGTCTAGTAAATGATCTTTGAGTGATGGTAGAAAATCCTGGGCACCAGGCACCATGTCAACATTTTCACGTGAACCCAGAATGTATCACTCACCTTCAGTGCAGGATCATCAGTGTGCTTGTGCAGCCAAGACGGGATGTGTCTGTGGGCTCAATCACTTTCTGACATGTGAAAATGGGCACGGAGATCTGTCAATGGCAGTGGCACCTCCTTTGCAATGCCTGCATCAACTTTCTGCATGCGAAGGTCTCGCCTGCTTTTGCAAGCTTGACTGCGGCTGGCATGGAGGATGTGCTCATGATGCTGGTGCTTACCAATCTGCAATGCAAATTTATGCTTGCTCGTGCGTGCGAAGAAATGCTTCACATGTCGATGCTCTAGCTCTGCCTGTGTAACATCATATCAAAATGTTTTGGGTCAAGCTGACAGGATGGATATACCACTTGTGTTGATGTCCCATCAGTGGTACCAAACATGTGTATGCTCTGTACATAGTCCCCCAGTGCATGCAGCTTTTAGGCTGACAGGTTGAAGAACTGTGCCTTTTTGGAAGTCGCGGCCTTGGTTGGGGCTGGGTTGCCAGAATTGGTGGCTTTGGCAGTGTTGCGACGCCCACGTGCAGCTTCTTTTTGTGGTAAATCGTATGTGGTGAAGGCTTTACATGTCTCTGCTGCAAAGCGCTGCAAGGAATGCCCTAATGCAGAGATGGCATCCTCTAATAACTGCAGAGTTGTATCTGAATGCAAGCACAGCTTTGCGAGAGCGTGCCAGTTTGCGAGATCAAATAGAAGGTCCATAATAATTTTGTTGTGGTGGCCGGTGCCTATCAGGCACTCGAAGACTGGCATCGTGCACTGCATGATCATTGGTCAGCTTTGTGGTCGGCCAGTTTGAGGCAGCACTATACTTGTAGTAGATCTTCGAAATCTCATGCAGCAAGTTTCTTCATGCCCGATGCATTGTTGCTGAAATGCTGAATCGTGTCTCTGCCAAACGATGGGACTTGGCGGTAGCTACATTAATGTCAATATTTGTTAGTCAGTGCAAGAAGATTTACGTATCGTCTGTTCAATTCTTGTATGGTATCATTGCTGTATGCATACAGGATGCGCAACAGGTGTGTGAATGAAGCCTTCCAGATGCCAAGTTCAAACTCATGCAGCAGATCTGGCATGAAGATGGAGTAGACGTTGAATCTGAAAGGGGACAGACATGTCGCAAATGCGCTCTGAGAATAATAGCAAGTCAATATTAATGCTGCTGCCTCAAAAATGATGCTGTACTCACACGACTCGGGACAATGGAACTGACACTGATTATCTCTTCAATTCTCTTGTATGCAAAGCTATACTCTTGGTAAATCCAGGCACGTGCACGCTCCAAGGCTCACCTGAGGGATTGGCTGTCGACTCATGCCAATTTGATACATTCTCGCATATCCCTTCGTGTTCCGAGTTTTGCTATATTGGCCTTCGAGATCAAGCAATGGGGACATGGACACTTGCCCAGGTACTTGATACAGGCTAGTAAAATCCTGAAAGCAGTTAGAGCAATGATTGCAAGATGGGCAGCATGTTTGAGACATACTTTTCAGGATAATCAGCCGAGTACGTGAAATGCACAGAAAAACTCAGTGCATTATTCCGTCTGCAAATTCCATGAGAATACCATACTCATATGCATGCATAAACTCCTCGTCAAGGAGCAATGCTATGATCACTTGCATCAACTCACACTTGCAATGAACCAGAGTTGCTACCGAGGTGACTGTGTTATAGACTGCCTGGTAAAATTCTTGAATGGTATCTGGTAACTGCATCACATTCAGTTACAGTGAACGCACATGCATATATGATTGAAGAGACGTACCTTGGGAATATATGCGAGATGATGTGCCACAAAAGACGTGGGCTTGGCACTGATGTACTTGGACTGATTGCCGATGAATGCATACATCGGCCACAAAGAAGCGGTGCCAAAATTGGCCAAGTGTGTCGAGTCTGAGTAGAGCATGATGGCTGCTATGACTGGCTCAATGTCATCTGGCTCTGAACATTGAGACTCAAGTTTCTTTTGTTCAGCAATCATCGCATCTGCAGTGTATAGCTCCCCATATAGACGCTCTGGGGGCGAGTCAGAGGATGGCTGCCAGAACTGTTGAAATGGGTGCATGTGAAACTTTTGTGCTGCAGTCTCACGAAAGGCGGTATGTAGCACCTCGAGCAGTTTGCAATAGAACATGCCTCCAATGGTGTACTCGGGGGTGGTGTCATCATGGGCCTGCTTATCATGTGAAGGGGGAGGGAGGCGAATCTTGACTGTGGTCTCATGCCATCCATTCGCTGAGGTACAGTAAATGCAGATGTCTTAACATGCTCGTTGAGATGCTGTACCTTGCGTGTCACTCGAAATGTTGCAAGGTCCTCGCTACAGAAGTCAGGAGCCTGAATTACATCCTGTACAAGGCTGTCTAGGTTACTGAGTGACTTGCGGTCATTGCCATTGTAGAACCACTTCATGAGATGAAAGACTGTCGCATTTAGGAATGGGGCAAAGAACTCTTCTATCATAGCAAGTGCAGACCCAAAGCCTGTCCACCATCGGCTGCTGTTATCTGCTGTGGCTGTCAAGGTGAGGGCTTCGCAGGTGTCCTCGAGACCGAACAAGTCATGAGGATCGTATGTCGGCTGAGTGGAGTAGACACGGTAGACTCCATAGGCATCAGGTTCAGTCATGACAGTGAAATCAGGACATGGTGAGTTTGAGCTGTCAGAGTGACTAGGTGACATGTGAGGAGGTTGTGGGGTGGATGGGCATGGTGGTGATTCTGGAACAGGTAATGCAGATGGCACTGGTGGTACCTCATCCCGGTAGCGCTTTGGCAGACAGATGTGACGAGCTGGATACTCAGATGCTCATGCAGAGGGTGGAGATGGCTCAGGTCCAGGAACGTCGAAAGGAACAGAGTTGATGCCTAAGTACTGGGTTAGTTGACAAACAGAACAGAGTCAATGCATAACGTACCTGGCACATCCTCAACCTCCTCAACTTCATCCACATCCTCAATGCATGCACACTTGGCAGCTGCACACTCCTTCTATCGCCATGTCTTCACCAGTTGATCCTCTTCATGTCTGCGCTTCCGACTCTCATGCACGAGTGTGGTCATCTCACCCAGAAATATCTTGCAAGAGCTCGTGTGAACACTGAGTGTGCGTCGGTCATAAAATGAATCATTATCACAGCCAGGGCAGACATGAGACATGAGAAGGATAAATATTAAAGTGCAGAGCCAGGAGTTCATAATAGAGATAGCAGTTGGATGATGCAGTTCCCTATGTCCGAGACATACGGCTATGGTGCATGGACATGTGACTTGAGAATGGACTGCCATGCATCTTCAAATGTGTCACTTTGGGCACTTCACTGCACGCTGCGCTTTCCTTATCCCACAATGCCTCCTACACGCTCATTGCTTTCCTCAGAGTTCTCGACTTCAGACAGCGACAGCAGCCCATCACCAACACCTCGCAAAAACAAGGACCTGTACAAAGTGTTGTCAAAGACAGTGCACCAATGCTGGATCAAGCTGTAAGTGAAACATTGAATGCACATAAATCTGATGAGTCTAATTCAGTCCATTTGCAGCAATGATGCACCACTCGCACCTTTCCTCGCTGCTGCCAGATGGATTCCACAGTCGATCAGCTCATTTATCGACATAAGTAGTGCTTTTTACTCATCCATAAAGTGAGTAAATGTGGGGCTGGAGAAGGAGAAACTGAGGTAAGCATCGATGTGAATATGAGCCTTGACTGACCTGTGTGTGATGTCAGGGACTTGCATGTGGCCCAGAACATGCAGGTGTATCACACCATCATGGATGTGAAGCTCGGCATATCCGATGTGCACGTGTGCTATGAGAAGGCACCAGATAGACTGCGTGAGCTCTTGCGACAGGTGAGTCATTCTATGCAATAATATATGGTGCGCATATATGCATATTTGCGTGTCATACCATGTGCAAAAGTGATGCTAACATGATGCAGCTGTACTAGATGAGGGATACTGCAAATATGGTGTGATCGTCTGACACGGATGGTCTCAAGAATGATGCGCTGCAGTACATCGAGCATGACCCAAAGGTCGATGAACCTTTGCCGAGACTGGATGACAAATCTGACAGAGGATTCGATCACAAAGTCCTCACCAAACTGCTATGCCCACACAGTTTTCTTGATGAACTGAAGGCAGACTACAAATTGTAAGTGCTTGATAATATGTGCAGAGCAATCTTAACATGCTTGACAGGGGTATTGCTGCATTACGTGAAGGTCAGGTCTCAATTACTGCAGTGGATTGGCTGTCATTTCTATACAACAATGAGCCCTTCGACATCACGGCTTTCAACCACGGGCTGCTATGAGGGCCATTCCTTCTCAAGGTATAATTATGGCAGGTTGGCAGGGCAAAACTAACTGATATTTAACCAGGTCTACAAGCATATTTTCATGGAACCAGGTTCAATATTCGGCACCACGTCAAGTTGCGGCGCCAAGGCTCCTATCAGCAAGAAGAATGGCCTCGAAGCTGCCACCGAGGTGACGATCGCATATGCGGTGACCCAGGGGAGTGCCCTCTGCATCCTTCTTGACAGTCATAATCTGTTGCTTGCAGGCCCACTTTGTATTAAGCAAGCAAGCAAAATGGGGGCCATGCGATGGGAATTTCAACAACGAGCAGTTTTTCGAAGCAATCCTAGCACTATTCGAGGATCCCGAATGGGCCAAAGAAACATTAGACTACTTTACCAAGTAAGCACGAGTCAGATTAATCAGGATGTCTAACACTCTTTATGTACTACAGGGAGGTTTTCAAGGGTCGAGACAAGAAGAAGAAAACAGTGACAGTATCAATGATGAGCCTGCAGGTGCTCAGAGAGATGCACGCTGCATGTAATCCTCCTCCTGCTGGAAATGACGGCCATGCCGCATCTGGCGACCATGAGGAGGGCATTAACAATTGTGAACTGGAACATGATGAAGGAACAGGACCACTACCTCGTGAGGATCTACTTGGTGCATGTCATCCGGACGTACTCATTGTCATGGTGTAAATGCGCATACATTTCCATTCATTTAGGCTCCTCTCTCAGACACGCTGGCAATAAACAAGCATTGCCACATGATGCAGGTAGTAAGAGTCACCCACGGATACTTGCGTGTATCTTCACTGACTATGCTATGGATCTGTGTGGATACATAGGTGGATCAGGCTCGTGAAAGGGGCGTACCAAGAGGTTCAAGAAGTGCAAGCATGTGGATGATGCTGATGAGGACACTGCACATGAGAAGACATTCAAAGATAAGACTCAGAGCAAGAAGAAAAAGGAGAAGCTTATGAAGGAATCGGCGGGTGTTCGAGTCAGCCTGCAGCATTCCTCACGGCGCTCATCGCTGGAGCACTAGACTCGGATGAACTGTACTATTCTTTCTTGGTGGACTTATGGTATACCAGTGTATTCTTTCATTTCGTACAATGTTCGGTGTTATGTATTAGTGCATGTCTATGCTGTGCATGCAATAGGATTTTATTATTTCTATTATTACACTGCAATTATCGCCCATGCCTCGCAAGTCTGTACCATGCATTGCAAGCCGCTGCCAGCCTGGCCACTTTCTCAAGGTTCGCTGGACCTTGCAAGCCCTTGCAACAAATCGAGGTTACTCGCAATGACCTCACCATACTGTTACAAGCCTTACAGGCCTTGCAAGGCATGGTGGTCCTGGCGAGGCCTTGTGAGGCCCTCGCAAGATTTTGTCACTTTTGCTGATGTCCTATGTATGCCACATTTTCCGTTGTTGTAGTGTCTCTCTGACATTGTTTCATAGATGGCTGACCTATCCTTATGCTCTCGCCGTTAGTGATCAAGCTGGGGTGGAGAATCAGCTGCAGAACATAATGGCCGATCTGGATGTGACCTTTAGGCTCAGTGACTTCAAAAGCATAGCCGAAGTTCATGGGAAGGCTGACAAGATTCTGAGAAGAGTGAAAAACTAGGAAAATATCTTCGTCGATCCATCGAGGCATGGACCTCAGTTAGTTCTGCGATTTTTGGATACGTGATTTCAACATTTTACCTGCCATTCGACTGTTTTCATATGATCGTGTAAACTGAGCTGAAGAGTAAGGGCCTATGCAACACACCCCATGCTCGAGTGATTATACTCGCACCATGAATCCACTACATATATATATAGCAGTGCGTTTACATCGGTGACCATGACATTTAGAATGACATTCTGTCACGGCTAAGCTTTGCCACACGAGACATGACGTCCATGGGTGCTTCACACATGACCCGCTCACGGGTGACCTTTATACTGAGTGCCTTGTAAGGCCCCAGGGTTCCACTTGGAGCGGTGACTCAAGATCCAACATAAAAGGGTGGTGAGCCCCCTATCAGCCAATGGTAGGCGAAGACAAGTGAGGGGCAATAGGCCTCACTGTCGAGCTGACTCAGGGATGAAGGGTTGTGGCAAGCCACGATAGATGTGAGAAATAGATGAATAAGACTGGGGAATAGCCCAGTCGCATAGAGGCATATATATACATGTAGGGGCGAGGCCCTCTGATATTCTAGTATCTATGGGGTCCTTGGCTACCTACTATGTATGTGCATATTACATAATGTGCTACAGCCAATGGCAATGTTCCTACTAGTAAATACTATGTGGTCATTGGTGGGCTGTAGGCTTATAGATAAGGTCATGGTCCGTGCGGCATTCCGTCGGGGTGCCGTCTCGGCCATGAGGTATAAGACCGACCTCCTTACCAATCCAGACCTCAGTGTCCCATGCCTATGCCCGAGCCTATTGAGCGGCTATCAGGATGTCATGTGCTTGGGCATCTCTTAAGGTCACGTGCCAGGGGCGCTTGATAGGGCGCTACCTTGTGGGTCACGTGATGTGTCGATTGGCGCAGACAATCGATAAGATCCTTGAGCGCTTAGCTGATCATCAATGATGTCGCATGGCTTTTGTGGCTGGCTTTGGTGATGCTGCTTGAGTCCAGTTACAGTAGGGCCTTCCGAATAGGGAAGTGCTAATATACTGTGACATCACCCCCACTTCATGGTTCATCGCCCTCGATGAACAGATGCTGTGAAGGCTGACTGAGCAGATGGGTGGGAGGGCAGGGTAATCGGCGTGCTCGCAGTTTAATGACTTGCGCATAGGTCTTTTGGTGTTCGCAGTTTATTCCTATAGACTTGCGCATAGGTCTTTGGGATCGCTATGGCTGGGAAATGGCCATGCTGGTGCTGGTAGTTTGTTCTGACATACATCGCGGTCAGGCTGACAGTTTAACCTCATGAGCGTGGAGGTTGGGGTGGTGCTTGAGATGCATCTTTTGTCCCTTGAAGTCTTGGGCCAGGTTGCCAATACCTCTAAGTGGTGGCAGTGCCTTTTGCTTCTTCTTGGGCTACACCCCTTTTGAGGACTCCAGACCAGTATCAATGCTGATGGGAGTTGCCTGGTGATGTGTTTTTCGTTCCTATAGGGCTGCACTCAAACCCTTTGGGATCCCTTCAAGTTGCTTGCTTGAGGTGGTGCTCGCAGTTTTTCCTTTGATCTTGCGCATAGGATCTGGGGTCTGCAGTTTAACCTCATGCTTAGGAGGCACTCGGCTTGTTACAGCACCGTGTCAGGGTGTAATGCATAAGCTGCAGTTTTTTATTGGAAAGGTGCACCTATTTCCTTTCTATGTATTTTTGATCTAACCAGTGATCATATTCGCGCGTAGTGTGGCGAGTGGTCGTTGGGATGTAATAAGATGCTGAGTGGCATATGGCAAACTCTTGCATGATCCATCTTGTCCACGAGTTCATAGGTCTTTTCGTATGACTCAACTGGTTGATTTGAGGCATAAAATTAGAGCTAAAAAGTGGTACTTCAGATCCGGCTATACGAACTGTGGCTATGTAACCAGCCTGTGGCCTTCTCAATGGTTACGGCCAGTTTCGTGCCTCTCTGTGGATAAGCCTTGAAGGTTCAGGGAATACTGCGCTGCGCTCGCCCTTCAGCCTTCCAAGGTCTTATATCCTTTTCTCAATGGTCAAGGGCAGTATAGGTTCTCCCATCCGAATGCCATAGTTCTATGCTAGTTGACATACATCTAACATAGCATGAATCCTCCTTACTGGTTCAGAGGAGCGTGGCCTTTGGCCTACGCCTAATGGTCACCCGTGGAGACCAGGTCATTGTGCTTCACTACGTTACGCACATGCCTATATACCTATATTACCCACTCCTTGCCAAGCTCTTCTCCGGGAGTGAGCTGGCACTAGGCAAGACCCGCCTGGGTCTGAGCACCCACAGCTGTGCACTCCTGGGTGACGTGCGAGGGGCTACCCAAGGGAGAGAAATGAATAAGAAACAATATAGGGTGGGTGGGGGGGACTCAAAAAATTGGATGTGTTCAGCAGGTTTGCAGTTTATTCTGACTTGCACTAGGTCTTCTGGCAGGACATCTGTGGTCAAGTGCCAGGATCCACTCTTTGGACCACAAATTGGGTCACTTGAGTGGTAGATTGCTTGAACAAAGATGCGCAATAGTGTCGCATTCCAAACGCGATGGGCGGCAGTTTTTCGATTCAACGTGCGCCTTGGTTGCATGTTTTTATCGCGTAAGACCTGGAATGAATGTTTCCCATGGTATCCCCATTTATCCCAATGTTGAACTATTCTTTGTGTCGTTCTTCGAATTTATACTCTATCCGCCCACAGTTAATAGTCAAAGGACTACCGTGTGCTTGGATGAGTTCTTCTCGACTTGCGCTGTTCGTTCCGCAGAATGTTCTTGAACAGAAGGTGTGCTGACTAGACACACTCTTTCGCATGCAAAGGTTTAAACTGGTAGCATTCCAGGCTAGCATGCAGGATGTATGACCCTTATCCTATATGGATTCTTTGATCTACATTGATAACGGGTTTTTGCCGAGGTCTTCGGACTTGTTCTAGGCCCGCCTTTTGATCTTCATCAAGATATAGGATGTTTGCTCGCAGTTTAGTTTTCTTCTATCGAGGACATGCGCATAGGTCCTCAGATACACGGTCACAAATAACTCGAAGTGTTTTTCGTGCTGGGCGAAGCTTTTGAGTGGGCCAGCTTTAGGCAAGATCACTTTGATGCGCGATGGCTTTATCAGGGGCCCTAGAGTATATTCCTATAGTCGACACAGGTATGCTACGCCTTGTCTAATAATTCCAAAGATCCTTCAGTCCATGTACCCACTCCTAGATCTTGATCCCAGCGAACACCGAATGGTTCCTGGCTGTTCACCCTCATGGAGGAGTGAAGGAAGCAACATGCGCTGATACCTTTTGTAGGCAGGGAGCAGCTTACAGTGGGTAGAGTCGTAGGAATAGTGGAGGAAGTGATGTGGAAAAAGCCCTGCTCTCGGGCGGAATATCTCTGAGCAAAAACGATGCAGTTTAAAGACCTGCTCAGGTCTAAAAGTGCCTGGTCCTCAAAGGATCCTCAGGTCACTCCCCGCAGTCAGCCTGAGGCCGAAGGCAGGTGGTTGAGTCTTATTCAAATGTCACGGCTAAGCTTTGCCACACGAGACATGACGTCTATGGGTGCTTCACACATGACCCGCTCACGGGTGACCTTTATACTGAGTGCCTTGTAAGGCCCCAGGGTCCCACTTGGAGCGGTGACTCAAGATCCAACATAAAAGGGTGGTGAGCCCCCTATCAGCCAATGGTAGG